TATAAAATATTTTGGTGACCCATCTGGAATAAGTACTCCATGGTACCAATTCTGGTGCTGTGTTTTTGCAGCATTTGATTCTAATGAGCCCCACTGCTAATGAATTGATGTCTGTCAACAGCGACACTGTGCCAGGGATAGAAGGACACTAAAGTCACGCTGAGCCAGGCAGTGTGAAAAGAATCATCGCAGCCCCACCTCACTCTGGTTTTTGGTACCCAAGAAGTATTTCTTGACATTCAGCAGCAGTGCAGATGTTTGGGCTGTGAAGGGTATGTATCACGGCTCCTCTTTTGTCCACATCCTGGGGTGGAGCGCTGAGGGAGCAGCAAGGACGTGAAAAGATGAACTCGTTCCTCCCCCTTCTTGCCTGTTTTGAGTAAGACATTGTGCCATGTGAGCTCTGGAGACCCCTTTTAACATAAACACTATGACTGGGGGGAGGCTGTCTCCACCTTCCTCCTCCAAGCAATTTTTCTTTAACACTTTGTTCTTCTCACTACTGTACTCTAGTTCAAGGGTTGTAAGTAAACTTCCTAATACTGGCATTGCTGGGAGGAAATGGGACCTGGAATCCAATATGAGCTCCGCTGAGAATTAAAACCTGCCTGCTGCTGGATCCAGCAGATACCTGTGGGTGGGCAAATTACTAGGTGCATGAAAAACTGAGAAAACACAAATTCAGGAGCTTCCCTGAACTTTCTGTTGTGTCAGGGTCTTATTTGCAGTGTGGATTCCCCTCCCTGCCTCTGTCAAACCAGAGAGGAAAAGCGATTCCTGGAGGAGGTGTGAGCCCTCAAGAGGAAAATACCGCCTGACTTGGCATAAGGTGTGCTTTACAGCTCCGGGAGGTGGTGGCTACCTCTCGGGCAGAGAGATGCCGGGTCAGCCGGGGCTGTGATTTGCAGTGGTGGATGGATGGATGGCCTTGGCACGCGCCTTGACATCCTATCGGAGAGTGGAGTAACAGCGTCTTCCCCGGCTTGGATCGCAGCCCTTCCACCGTGCAGGGGAGGAGGGTGAACACCAGCGCGGCTGCTGCTCACAGCTGCCTGCGGGAAGGAGACCATCCTCCTCAGGAAGGGCTGCTTGCTCAGGGGAGGCTTCCCCCCGTCCTCGGGAGGCCCTTCTGAGCCTGATCCCCATACTGCGGTGTGAGTGTGTCACTGAAACCACCCAGTCCCACACAGATAATTGATTTTCTTTTATTATTTTATAATTTATTATTTTTTTCCTAGTTTGGAGGCAGAAGTGAGAAATCAGAGGGAAAAATAAATATAAAAGAAAGAAGAATTGGGGTCAAAGTGAAGCAGCAGTATTTCAGTCCTTTGAGAGCTTGTCTATACTCACGCTGTGGGTGTTCTTGTTGCAAACAGTAAGCGGGAGATGTTTTCCCTTAGTAGGGCAGAGCTCCCGCACCACGGCCCTCCTCGCCTGGCCTTAAAAGGACAGTGTTTTCTGCAGGACCATGGGTCCTCCAGAAGCTGACGGGCTTTTGGGAAGGGGCCTGCCCTGTTGCATCACGATGCTGCTTGCTTTGGACCTTGCTACCCTTGTGTTAATGTTGCTTTGGTTCATTCTTTTCTTGTGCCTTTTGTTATGTCTCTCTCCTCCTCCTGCTCCTCTCAGGAGGTTGGAGGGAGAGAGGCCAGAGAGCCTCTAGGAATGTTCTTGCTTTCCCCATTTTTTATTCTCTCTCCTGGCCTGAATTGATCCTTTCTTTTCCATAATCCATACGCCTGCTCAGAAAACCAGCTGCTGAGTGAAAAACAGTTGCCAAGCCCATGATGCATCCCTAAAGAGATCCTCAGCCTCCATCTTATATCCCATGGGTAAGGCCATGGCAATCTGGAGGGCTCTTCCACCTCCTGCTCTACCCAAACTTACACATGCCCTGCTGTGCTGGTGGCTCAGTGCTGGCTCAGGAAGGGTGGACACCAAGGCAGCTCATCTCACTATCTCCTGGACCACGTACCCATAGGATTTCCAGCCTACAGAAGATGCCCAGCAGAGCACAGTTGTTGCACTTAAAGCAGTGAATCCAGCCCAACCAGGCAGAGCCAGTGGGAGGACATGGTACCACCTTGGAGATACCCTTTCAGGTCCACTTGGCTCTTCATAGAATCATAGAATCATTTGGATAGGAAAAGACCATTGGGATCATTGAGTCCAATCGTAAACCAAACACTACCAAGTCCATCATTAAACCATGTCCCTAAGCACCACATCTACACATCTTTTGAATACCTACAGGCTCTTGCCTAGGTCCTCACAAACTCAAAGGTGTCTGAGCTATTACAGAGCAACAGCTTTCTTCTTTTCCCTTGTCCTTGCTGACAGTTCTCTTAGAGAAGACCAAACCTGTGGAAATGTAAACTGAACTACCAGAGATCAGTTATACCAAGAAAATATGAACCTCACCTGGCTCCCCTAAACATTTTCCAATCTCTCTATTGTTGTGGCTGATCCTTTGTTCAAGACCCTCTGTGATCTTGTGGAGTCACTGGGTTTCTAACTCATATGTCAGCAAGAGAAAGGAAGAGGGAAAGCTATAAGAGATGTCCCTTTTGTGGGCATCGCACTGCTGCAAAGAGACAGGAAGGAGACCCAACACTTCACCTGTGTCACCAGGGCCTCCCTCCCCATGCTCCTTGTTTCTCCAGAGCTTCGCTCTTCCTGGAGACCCCATTCCTTAACAGTGGCTGAACTGAACACTGGATCTCCATATCTATCTGCCATGCTGGACCGTGTTCACCTTTCCTTGGTCATTCCCTTTTCCTTGGTCAATGATACCATTAAGGATGTGGCAGAGCCAGCCCCCAGCCCACACCCTCCCAGGAAGACCTTCCCTATTTCTGAGTGAAGGCACCGAGATCTTGGAGTTTCCCTCTTTCAGGAACCCCAGCAGTTGAAGGAAAAAAGCTCCCACAAGAAGTCAGTTATCCATGAGCCCTGCTAACCTTAACTGTGCACTTGAAGCGTCTTCTGTCTCACCCTACTCAGCCTTTGCATGGTGGGATGAGGTGCACAAGAAGGGCTAGCCTAAGTGTGTTAGGACAGGCCCTGCACTGCACCAGCCACACACGAGGCCAATTTGCCTGTCCTATCAATTTGCCAGCAAAGCCAGGTATCCCACCAAACGGGGTTGGGTGGGATTTGCTGGGAGCTTTGGGAAGCTTTTCCAGAAAATTACTCATGAGCCCATGGGTAGTTGTGGCCATTAACCCACACGTGTTTTGTCTCTTAGGAACACTGCTGTAGTCACTGTTGCCAAATGAAGTGTTTCACCCAAATGTGACACTTCCAGAACTTTTCCCCTTGTGTTGGTGGCAATGGCCACTGAAGAAACAGCTTCTTCCATGTCAAGAAGGAAAAACTGTGGCCGGAAAAGACCAGATTTCCATGTGAGAGGGGTCTCAGCATCCCCCAAAAGGCAAGGACCTCATGGTGAGCTCACAAGAGTGGCATCAGGGCTTTGACCATCCCTGCCTGTCCCTGCAGACCTGCATGCTGCAGTGCTACGAGGGCTCCAAGCTCTGGAGCTCCCTGGTCCTCGCTGACACATCTATGAAAGTGCTGCAGTGATTTGGGTTCTGGAGCAGAGCTTAAATCCCCGGCTCCCACCTCCGGCCTCATCTCACCCTCACCCCAGCACTGGCTGTGTGTCAGCAGGGTGTTTTCCAGGAGCTTATGTAGCTTCTGGAAAAGTTTCCAGGGCAGAAGACATGCTGGATAGGCAGAACACTCATCTCACGAGAAGCTTTCTGATAGGGGAGAGGTGCTGGTGGCGCCGGCCAGGGTTTTTTCCTACAGAGCGGATCAGGGTTGGGAGCAAGGAAGGGCATTAAAAAGAATTAAATATATTAACTAAAGCCAGAGCAGGCAGGACGTGGCTGCAGCAACATTATGCAAAGAGCTGGACACATCTGGAAGATGTTACTGCACACAGCAACCGAGGCAGAGTCTAAACAAGTGCAAGACGTTACCACATTTGTGTCTGCAAAAGGGAGTGGTTTGGAAGGGAAGAAGAGCCGGGAAAGTGGGGTGAAGATGCAGCAGCCTGGGGGCTCTGGGGATGCCCCCAACCCTGCTGCCATCCTTTGAAGCTGTTGTGTTTCTCTGCTCTTAGGGTGGTAGAACAGAATTAATTTGCCCTGGGCATTTTTGGTGGTGTCTGCATGAGAGGTGAGGGCAGAAGTGGGTCTTGGAAGCGGTCAGCATCCCAACATTAGGTGCTTCATGGGTCTTCTCCTGCCCTGGTGGAGCCCAGTACCAAGGGGTGTCAAACATGTGGGAGCACCATGAGGACCCCTCTACGTTGCCTCCCTGGACTCCCCCTCCATGTCTGCTCCAGGTTTCCCCCCTCCCTCTGGGGGAACCCATCTGGGCTGCATTGAGATGCTAAAACCCATCTGAAGCTCAGCATTGGGTGGATCCAAGCAGAGGAAAAAATAATAAGCTCCTACTTTATTCTGGGGGAGTGAGGTAGGGGCTGGCTGTTCCTCACATTCCATGGCTTGAGGGGGTTTTGGTGGACCCCCACCACGACCACCTACCAGTCCCCCCATCCTAAAACCTTAAACACCTGCCCCATCTATCTCTACCTATAGGGAACCCCATTTCCCCCAACAGCAGGATAGCACTCCAAAAAACCCTTTTCTTAACAAAACCAACCTTACCCCACGACTCCCCAAACTGGGGGTTTATGCCCCAAAAAGCCTTTTTGGTGGTTTTATGTTGGTTTGTTGTTTTTTTTTGATGGGGTGCATGTGCCTCAGTTTCCCCCAGTGGGGTACAGAGGATGCTCCCGGGTGTATGTGTGTGTGGAAGGGGTGCTCCCCGCAAGGCTTGGCTGTAACCCGGCGTTGGGGTGCTGGGATGATGGGGGGGCTGTCACGCGTGGGGTGAGCGGCAGCGTGTCGTCGTTGTCATCGGGGTCCTGTCCCTTTAAAGGGGCAGCCGCGGCCCCATCTGATGCGGCGGCTCCAATCAGCGGCCCCGGGGTTCCTGGCAGCCGGAGCCGCCGCCGCTCCGCATTCCTCCGTCTTCCTAAAAGGGGCGAACATGGCGATGGGCAGGATGAGGTGAAGAGGAGAAGGAGGAGGAAAAAGAAAAAGGGAAAAAAAAGGAAAACGAGAAAAATAAAAAAGAAAAGGAAAAAAGAGGGGGAGAGAAAGGAGAAAAAAAAAAAAAAAAAAGGAAAAAAGAGGAAAACAGGGACGGGGGATGCCAGCAGCGGCGGCGCGGTGATTTCCTTCCCTCCCCCCTTCCTCCTCCAAAAGGCAGAAAAAAAAAAAAAAGGCAGCAAAAAAGCCAGCCAAAAAAGAAAAAAAAAGGCAAAAAACCCACCCCGCATCCAACCCAGCAAACCACCCATCCCAACAGTTCTTGTTTTTTCATGGAGAGCAAAAACCCCAGGCAAGCGGAGGAGGACCGGGACTCCTTTGCGCGGAGACCTTTGCATCAAAATGGTAGAGCTTGCGCACCCCCCCCTTCCCTTCCTTCCTTCCCTTCCCTTTTCCTTGCTTTTTTCCTTATTTTCCTCTTCCCCCTCCTCCTCCTTCCCTTCCCCCCCCCCTTCCCGCTTCCTCGCGCTCCAGGGGCTTTGCTGACTTTGCAAAGGCCTCCGAAACTTGCCCAAATCCTTGCAAGGGCGGCGGAGGTGGAAACCTGCGGGGGGGTGGGGGGTTTGCATGGGCGAGCCGGCGGCATCCTTACGGGGGGGGGGGTAACGGACGGGACACACGGACACGCGTGGAGGGGCTGGAAGGAGCCGGGGGGTAGGATACAAACAGCGCAGCCCATCCATGCAGTGGGCCCGGTGCTTCCTTCCTTGCAAGCCGCTTTGGTTGGGGGGGGGGGGAAGAATTGGCTGCATGGGCCCCCATTGGCACAAGGCGGAGGGGGGGGGAGGTTTTGCATTCGAAAATCGTATCAAAAATGTCGCCGTGTCCCCCGCCATGCACGGGCTGGTTTTGTGGGGGGCGAGGGGCTGGTTGGAGGGGCTGGGCTTGTTCTCCCCACCCCGGTGTGTTTTGAGAGGTGATGGGGCTGCTGCGGGGGGGGGGGGGGGGGGGGTATTTGTGTTGAGCAGCGGGGCCAAGCCCACCTCAAGGCCCCATTCGTGGTCAACGGCGAGGTTTGGGCCGCGGTGGGGGGGGACAGACGGTACTTTTGGGGCCGCCTGGTTGCCCAGGCCGGAGGATATGGGGTTTGCTGGGGCGGGGGGGGGAGGGGGGGGGGCGCGGGATGAGCCTCTCGCTTCCTCGGCCCTTTTTGTTCCCCGGATGACTCCTTCATTTTGCTAATTCCTCGTCCCTGTGTGTACCCCCCTCTTCCCGGCTTGTTCCTGCCGTGGGCCCCCTTTCCCAAGGGGATCTGGGGGATGCTGGGCGCACCCTGGCCCCCCAGAGCAGTGAGGCCCGGGGAAGGCGCAGCATCCCGCCCTGCTCCGGGTTTGCAAAGGCATTTTCCATGAATCCTGCTAAAATACAGTAATAACAAGGAAGGGAGGCCGGTTGCACCGGGAGCCTTGCAGCAGTGACCTATTTTAGCAGCCGGTGGACTTTTGAGGGGGGTTCGTTTGACTTGCAGAGAGCAGGCCTGAGCGGGGAAGATGCACAGGGAAAATCCCTTGGGATGTGCCATGCCCAGGAACCGCGGTTCCAGGTGCTCTGGTGCCTCCCCCATCCCTAAAAGTGCGGGGTTGTGATTGCCCCAGCGGTGGCTCCGTGCCCGTAATAACACCCTGGAGGCGTTCGAGCGGCTTTTCAGACAGGGGAAGAAAGTGCAAGCTTGGAAAAATAGACACAGCTGAGCTGGTGCAGGAGGTGGGAGCCGGGATGCTGGGATGGAGCTTGGCACTCCCCAGCTCCGATACTGGGAGTAGCCAGGATCCAGTTTGGGTGCCTGCTGGCCGCACTCGGCCTGCAAAATTCGTGCTGACATTAATCAGTTTATGAAGCCGCCCCTGCATCCCCTCGGGAGGGAGATGCTGATGGACCTGGGGAAGCCCCGGGGTGGTTTTGGTGAACGTTTCCATTCCGAGGTGGGAATGGAGATGCCCAGAGCCCACCTGAGTGAGCAGCTCGGTGAGGAAGGGGGTGAAAAGCTGGGAATTAAACCTTTCCTTTGCCCCTGGCCTCAGTAAGAAACAGAGGAAAATTTGCTTCACAGAGCAAAAATCCTCCTTGGAAGGATGTTAAGGGAATTTTTTAAATTTTATTTTTATTTATTTTCTGGATCTGGGGTTGAAATCATTTGCTGTGTGCAAACATTTCAGCTCTGACCATGGAGTTTCCCTGGGGATGCTGGCTGGGCTAAACACCGTTCCAGGGGCTTTGCTGGGGCATCCGGAGGGTTCCTATCACTTCCTGGCTTGGCTTCAGGACTGAGCTTTGTTCTCCCTGTGAGGAATTAACGGTGCGTTAGGTTATTACCAGGCGAGCGCCCGAGTCAGGCAAGATAAACGGCCTTGTGTTTGTGTCTCAGGTCTGGAGGAGAGGCATGTCACCCCCTTCACTAAAATAACCCGCTGCTGCCTTTGGAGATGCCTTCTTTGTAAAAGGGAGGGGGAAGCCGGAGGTTGCCCGTGAATCAGTTAAATATCGGTTATTTATAAGATGCAGATTTTTCTGCTTAAGGAAAAATAGGAAAAAAACCCTTTTGTGGATGAACTGAATGTGTCAAAACATCAGAGGGTCTTTGACGGTTTCGGGGGAATTGCTGATTTCCCCATCCTCCCTCCTTGCTCATGCTGGAGGAGGAAACTGAGGGCTCTCCCGCACTGCTGCCTTTAGGCTTTTTAGATGGGGACGTGGCGATGGCCATGACAAAGTGCTCTCCAGGAAGAGCAAGAGCTGAAGTTTTTGTTTTGCTTCTGCATTTGCGTAGTCCTGAGGAAGGGAATCCCCTAAGTCCCCTGTGTGGTTTGCATCTTAGATGTCCCCTGACATCCCATGGGATCTGTGGTCCCTGAAAGGCTGCAGGATGCTGGTGGAGAGGATGAGCTCAGGGTATGTCTCTGTACCAACTGCCCCTAATTTTTCCTCTCTTACTTCTAAAGGAAACCCATTGCATTGCACTGCACTGCTGGAGTGGTGTTTGCAGGGCAGGGCTGGCCCTCTTGGATGTCCTGTGTGGGGACACCTGAGGACTTGTCCCTGTGTCCTTTCAGGCTGCTGTTCCCTCTTCAGACGACTTCGGTGCTTCAGCTGCCTATGGTCAGACCTGAGGTGACTTTGGATATGGGGAAGGACTGGCCATGGTGGTACAGATAGGATGGGTAGAAGACTTAATTACAATAATTTTTTTTTTAATTATTATTTTTATTATTGTATCTTTTGCCCAGAGCCACGGCTACTGACACCTTTTTCTGGGTTAAAGCCCTGCTCCCTGAGCTGCTGAATATGTTGGAAGAGCCATGATAAAAATAAACCATTTTAATGCATGTTCATAAAAGACGTGTTGGTCCAGAAGGCTGGCTGGCAGAGAGGAACATAGCTGGTGCTTCACAAAAAGCCCCAGCCAAGGTTGGGTTTAGGATGGAGCTGGAGAAGGGGACCATCCCTGGGGTCAGTGTGAGGCACTGTAAGGCTTTGGAGAGGATGCTCTAGGATGGAAAGCTGTGCCCAGGATGCTGGGAGAGGCTCAAGCTTGGACCTCTCTGGCAATTTTGTGGTCTGGAGTTGGGTTAGAAAATGGTGTGGGTTTAGTGTTTGATGGGATCTGGGTGTGGGCAAACCTTGGAGGTGTTGCATTCCATCTTACTGTTGACTCACCTGGAAGGTTATTGTGGCTTCCCCAGGGATGGAGACCATGATGCTGGGCAGGAGAATGTGCTGCCCAGTGCCAAGCTAATTCAGCAGTGTATTGGAGGAGGCCTTGTGCGTCTATCCACCTTGCTTTCCAGGGATCTCAGCCTCTTCCTGGCTACTGCATGGCAGTGTGTATGTTGGGCTGGCTCAGGGACACGATGGCTTCAGGGTATGCACAAGCAGTGCAATGGCTGCCCCGTTGCACCCGTCCATTCTCCCTGCACTGAATTTGGGGTCCCTATGGGTCACAGGGGACTCTGTGCACCGTCTCCCCCATTGCATCTATCCCCTCCTTTGGTGGCACTGGGGGCACCCATAGGGTTGTGAGTGGATGATGCTCACCTCCTCCCTGGCCTTGCCGGCTCGCGCCGGGCTGGGCAGCGGATTGGAGCTGGCCCCTGGCGCAGCCGCTTGGCTGACAGCCCGGCTGGGGAGGTCAGCATTGGGTTTTGTCCTTGTTTCCTCCCTCGATCTTCCCTCTGCTTGTTTTTCTCAGGCAGGGGAGGGGGGAGACAGTGGCTTTGTGTGTGTGTGTGTGTGTGCGTGTGTGTCCTGGGCTCTTCCACCCCAGCAGTGACTCTGTGGCAGGTCCTGCATCCCCTGGACAGGAGGGCAGCATCGCATCCCAGTGTCTGCTCCTGTGCCAGGGTGGTAGCTCGGGGATGTCTCCATCAGCCGGGTGTCACTGGCTGTGCCAGGCACTGGCGGGGACCCTGTGGCTTGTCTGCCGTGCCTGTGTTCGGTGTTTGTCGGGGGATACTGGCTCTGCCAAAATCCAGCAGCATCCGTTTGGGGTTTAACCCCAGACCCTGCTATAGGCTTAGTTCAGAGCTTGAATTGCCCACAGAGCTTTTGCTCTGCATATAGGGTCTGGATGCACACAAAGAAACTGCTTTGGGTCCTGACCAAGGGGACAGGGACAGACGGATGAGTGCATCCAGCCCCGTTTTGGTGCCTCTGCTCTCCCTCCAGAGCAGAGTGATCGAGGCTTATCCTGGGCTGGAGATAATGTGGTGCTGGGCTGAAGCCTCAATATTTTTGCAGCAAGGAGGTTGTGCTTGTGCAGAGGATGGGGCTCACCGTCACTCATGTCGGGATGGACACGGGGGTTACTGGGCTGACCTCAGGGCTTGGCAATGAGTCCCTGTCGCCCTTAGTGGAACAGAGGGATGGTGTCCCTGATGCCATCACAGTGGTGATGGTGGTGGTGGCATCTGCAAGGAGCAGTTTTGCAGCATTGCCTCACTGGACCAGTTTGGGGATGGGGGGTGACAGCAGGGTTGTCCCCTCTGCCTTGCAAAGCATCATTGTAACTTTGCAGCTCTGTGTGCAAAAGAAAAGGAGCCAGAGAGGCTGGTGGGTTTGGTAAATGAGAGAAAAAAACCCTATAAAATAAATAAGAAAGCAACCAGCCATTAACCCTCAGAGGGCTGTGCTGCTGGAAAGCCAGTGCCCATTCCCAATGGGATGAAGCCTGGTGTTGCTCATCCCACCTCATCCCCTGTTCTCCCAGTGCTGCAGGTGGCTGTGGCACTTAGAAGAAAAGCCCAAAAGAACCTTTTCCCTGTTTGCAGGGGCGGCGCCTTAGCTGCATGGGGACAGGGATGGGGGAAGGATTTGTCCCCATTCCCTTGCACTGAGGATGGTCCTGCTGGGCCTGGCACTGCTGCTGGCTTCCCAGGCTGCTTCCTGGAAAAGCATCTTTGAGCCGAAGCCTGAAATTGCTGGATGCTATTAAAAAAGCCCTAGAAAACAACCAAAAGGGAGGGGAACCAAAAAAGCCTGTGAAACATCTGACTGTTCCCCAAGCCAGGCTAATGCTCTTCTTTGCTTATGTAGAGGCTGGGAGGTGTTTTTTGGGATGCCCAACACCTGGGAGTGGGACAGGCTTTGGGAGCATCACTGAGCCCCTTCCTCTCGCTTCCTCTGAAGCCTGCACATGGCTCTAATTTGGGCAGCCCCAAGCCTTTTAGACAGTATGTAGAGGAAAGTCACCACGTTAGATGGTGTCACCACCATCCCAAAGGACTTTGCCATCCCTGGCCTCTGGGATGGGACCATTCCTTGTGAGTGCCCGGTCCAGCCCCAGCAGCATCCCATCCCAGTGGGCAGGATGCTGGCGGTGGGTGCTTGGGGCCATGTCAGCCGGCGCCTCGCCAGGCGGGGCTGTGGCCGAGCTATTGTTTTCCCTTCCTGCTTGTTTTTCCGGACAACCCTCCCCTAATTAAATAAAAACACCCGTTCAGAGGAGCAAAAAACCCCCCTACCCCCAGCACAGCGCTGTGCCACGGGAGGGCAGAGCACCCATGGGAGAGGCACCCGGGGAGGGCGGCGACAGGCGAGCAAAGCAGTGAAGGTAGGTGATAGGCGAGGGGAGGGTGCGTTGGGATGTGTTTTACAGCAGTGCCAAGTTTCCATGCATGGCCATGGTCCAAAAATGGGTGGTTTTGGTGTTGTATAGTCCAGGCAGTGCTGCTGGGTCTGGGGTGGCTTCATGCTGGTGCATCCTGGTTTTGGGAGTTGGTTTTTTGAAAGATGTGAGCACTACATCATCGTTAAAAAAACCCAAACTTTATGTAGCCTCAAAAGTTTGGGGATGAAGGCTAAAGGTTTCATCCAAGGGTCTTGAAAGCAGAGGGCAAATGGCACGGGGATGTGGATTAAAATCAAAAGCATGGGTGTCTTTGGCATTCCTAATGACACATCTTTGTATCACTTGAAATAATCTGTAAAAATAGGGGGTTTTAACATTATTTCTTTCTTTAGCAAAAGTGAAGTTTTGGGATTGAATAGTTTCAGGGAAGCTCTTTCACCCTGCAATGCAGCGGTATTCAAATTGAGGAGAGGACACGAGGTTTCTTTGAGGAGCAAGTGCTAATATTGTATTCAGCTACTCATTAAAGCAGTTTTCCTTAATGCAGGTTTAATACTGAAGGTCAGTGGTAAATGTTTTGGTGGTTGCAGATGGTACGGAAAAGCAGATTGCTGTTTTTCATGGGAGTCTGGGTGGCGAAAAATTTTAAGTAAATCCCTAGATTTTGTGCTGAGTGGAAACTGGTTCACAGGCAGCTGGTTTCACGACCCTGCCCCAGTTGAAGCAGGGGCTTGTGGCCACCTGAATGTGCCCTGTATGCCCCCAAAACCCTATCCTTTTGCTGATACAGGAGATAGATACTTGTGATCCTTGATACTCCAGTGATGAGGGCAATAGACGTGGCTATAAATAAATAGAGAGGCTGGTGAATGCCAGAGGTGGCATGGGGGTCTGCAGATTTGAGTATTTAAATATGTCCAGGGTGACCCAACCTACTGCTCATTCATGGGGTATATTGCTGCAGGAGCATGTAGGGATCTGTGAAGATAAGTAGTATTTTATCTTAGTACATTAAGGTAAATCCAGCAGCAGCCCACTTTAAAGGGAGGTGATGAGGTGTTGGTGGGGCTGTTAAGGGGAACTGAGGCACGGTAGGGGATGCAGGTGGAAGGGATGTTGCTGTGCTCAGGCTTCATCTCCTGTAGCAGTATTTTCAGTGGAGAAAGGCTGCCCTGGTCCAGTGAGCATGGGCGTCTCCTTTGGCCACCATTCCTGTATCACTCTTGTCTCTTCTTCGCATCCACTGCCATCAGTGCTCAACTAACTCCATCCCTTGGTCCCCTCTCACCCTGAGCATCCTCTCCATTCTCCAGCTGGCTGTTCTGGGGACGGACTTTGGCAGTGCTGCTTGAAAACACTCTGAAAATAGCGCTGGAGGGCAGTGTCGGGGCAGGGAGGGCTGTCTGCAGGCACTGCCGTCCCCTTGGTGTGGGGACCTCACGGACACACTGCTTTCGAGTAATTTTTATGGGCTTTTTTTGTGATGATGATGCCAGGGCCCTGTCCAGAGTTCATTGGGGGTGGTAGGGGTCATTGGCTTTAGGGTTTGCTCCAGTTTCATACACCATTGAACACCCCAAGTCCCGACTTGGGATGGGATGGGTGACCTGCTCCTGCAGTGTGCCGCTCGTGGGACTAAACCCACCCAGGTGGTGATGGTGGAAAAGAGCAAAACTGTGATTTTATTTTTTCAATGTATTTTAATACGTTTGGGATTTTTAAGAAAAGAAAAGTATATATTTAAAGTGTTTGTTTTCCCAGGGGAAGGGTGATGGATTTAACCTTCCCATGAATCCTGATTAATCGGGCTTCTCTGCTCTGGTGTAGCAGCAGGAGTGGGAGCTGCCAGAGGGGTATTTTAAGGCAAGTTGGGGTCTTTCTTGGGATCTCACCCCGGCAGGCGCCTCTTGCCTTGGCTGGGGCTCTGGGCAAGCTCATGAAAAGCATCTGATAGCAATAAAGAGCAAAAGCCTCCCGCTGACAAGCCCGGGCTGAAGTCACCGACAGGACGCGGCCAAGACACGCATTGTCCTCGCCGCTGCTGGGACTGATTAGAGCTGCCTGGCAAGGCCCGGCTCTGGGTGAGGGATCAGCCCCTTTTGCCAAAAAACCTCGATCCGGAGCAGAACCCAGCTTTTGTTTTCCTGGCTGCCCTGCACAGAGACGATGCTGCCCGGTGGAACCAATTCCCCCTGTTTTGTGTCCATTTCTCCATGGCTGTGACCGTGTTGAGCTCGGGGCATCTTATGGGGAGTGAGGTGAGATAGATCCCAGGAGGAAAAACCTGAATTCAACTGTTTTTTTTCACAGCGCAAGCAAAGCAGGCAAGTCCCTGGCAAAGAGCAGACCTCTCCACTTGAAAGCTTTTGCTGTCCCTTCAGCGCTCAATACGTATGATAGCATTATTTATTTTCCTGTATGTCTTGGGGGGGCTGAGCCATCCAAGTTCCTCTTGTCAAAATGTCCTTGGCAGTTACAAGGCTCAGAAAATAGGGGGGGTGGAAGTGGCAGATGTTCCAGATGGGATGCAGCATTTTGTAGCAAATATGTATGTAGAGTGTTTATGTATTTATATGTTTACGTATATTTATACAGTGTTTTAATATATATGAAAAATTAATATATAATATAGGTATAAAATATATACAGAAATATATATAAGAACCCTTCTCCCTCTTTGCCTTCCTCCAGGCTGCAGAAAAGCTGGTTTTGTCCTGTTTTCCCCCTGGTGTGAGTTAGCTGGGGCTCTTTGGGGCCCTCTGGACAATGTGAAGCTGACGACCCCGCTGGTTTAGTGGGTTGGTTGTGGAGAATAAATTCAGTGAAAATGAAGAATTTTGGCAGGGAGGGGGAACATTTTTTTTTTAACTTTTTGAGAAAACAGAAGAAAACACCCTTTTTATTATTTAAACATTTTTGTCTGCGTATGCTTTCGCCTTTGGCTCACAAAACTAGAAGACAAACAAATTGTGTCTTGCTGGAATTCAGGGGTTGATCAAGAGCTGCCATTTGTTCCAGAAAAAGATTGGAACTGAGAAATGCTTTCTGGAGTGTAAGGTGCAGGATAAACCTGACAAGTTGAACCCTGCATTTCTGCCACTGCTCTGCACCATATCCTTGGTCACATCTTGCAGTGGTGTGGAAAAGAGGATGTTAATGTGGCTGGATCCTTCTCCATCCATGAACTGGGTGTTCAGCACAGGAAGACAAAGGGAAGCAGAGGGTAAAGGGCTATCCCACCTGATTTTAATACAGGGCATGGGATTTAGAGTGTGGGACATCTCTTGTGTTTGGGATGCAGCTGACAAACCCATCCTGGGTCTCAGTATCCCCAGGAGAGGTGATGGATGTCCGGAGATGGTTTGCACCATGCAAAATACATGTAATTGGGATTAAATGCCCAGCAAAAGCAGTCTGGGAAGTGTTGGCAGTCACAGCATTTCCCAGCCTGGGGCCGCTGCTCCCTGATTTGAATTTTTCCAGGTAGTGCCTTTCCCCAGGCAATTTAAAATGGGCATTAAAAAAGCGCATAAATCATCCCAGTGAATCCAGCTAGGGAGTTAGCTGCTGACGTGAGTCAGAGCACACAGTGTAATTCGGGAAATATGAGAGGTTACTGTGTTTTATGTAATTATCTTATAGAAGCAGGGAGATTTAAAATCCTAATTTCCTTTTATTTAGGGGGTTAAATCTCAGCTGGTGCCTAGAAATTGCTTCCTGCATGGGGCAAATTGCCCCCTGGGGTTTCCACCTGGTTTAGGAGATCGAGGCATCCCCTCCACTGCATGGCATCTCCCCTGCATGAGTGTGGACAGCTGGGCCAGGCTTTGGACCAGCTTGGTGGTGGGATGGCCGTGGTGCCTCCTACCTCAGGCTGAAGGGATGTAAATAGGTGTTTGCGTGGCCTTGACCTATCCTTTCATTGGGCTTTCCCCTTCTTGGTTGAGTCTCCTGGAATCAAGTTGGTGGTGGAGCCTCTTGGTTGGTATCTCCGATTTGGAATACATGGACAGGGATGGGTGGCATGGCTGGGTGGCTGTTTTCCTGGGGAAAGAGCCCTCTTGAGTTATTTTATTTCCTTCCTCCCCACAGCTGATAGTCGAAAAAACGACTGACTACCCTTCGGCTGAGTACTCCCTGGTGGAGGATGTAGCCCTCCACTTCACGTGTTTGATGGACAGACTGAACGAGCAGCGCCTCTTTCAGCCGGACCTGTGCGACGTGGACATTGTGCTGGTGCAGCACAAGAGCATCTTCCCAGCGCACAAGGGGGTCCTGGCAGCCTACAGCCAGTTCTTCCACTCCCTCTTCACCCAGAACAAGCAGCTGCAGCGCGTAGAGCTCTCTCTGGAGGCTCTCACCTCACAGGGCCTCCAGCAGATCCTCAACTTCATCTACACCTCCAAGCTCCTCGTCAACTCCTGCAATGTGCAGGATGTGCTGAACGCAGCCGCTGTGTTGCAGATGAACAACATTGCCTCCTCTTGCCAGGACCTCCTCGACACCCGCTCGCTCAGCCTGGCCACTGACATGGCCCTGCCTGCTGAGGGCTGCGCCGGACCCCCACCCTACTACTGCGAGATCAAGCAGGAGGTGGATGCTCCCCATCCCAAGATCTATGCCCGGGAGGGCAATGACCCCTATTCGGTGCGGGTGGAAGATGGCACGGGTGGTGGGACACTCCCCCCTGGTCCAGCCAAGCAGTACTACAAGGAGGAGAAGGATGGTGGTCCAGGTGCTGTCTGTAAGATGGAGGGTGAGGAGTCGGAGGAGGACCTGGACAGCCAGGGCTCATACAACCGGGAACAGATCATTGTGGAGGTGAACCTCAACAACCAGACCCTCAATGTCTCCAAGGGCACGGAGGGGAAGGGAGCTGCCAGTGAGGCAGCTGTGATGGGGAGGCCTGATGGTGATGGGCGAGACACAGAGGAGGATGGGGAGGAGGAGAATGAGGAAGGGGAGGAGGAGGAAGAAGAAGAGGAGGATGCGGAGGTGGGTGAGGAGGAGGAGGAGGAGCACAGTGAGGAGGAAGACCTGGAGGAGACGACGGAAGAAGAGGATGACGATGACGACGATGAAGACGCATCAGAAGTGAAAAGGGAAAAGTGTGGGCAGCCCCGCAGAGGCAGCCGGGCCTCCAAAGCCACCAAACCTGCCATGGCAACCAGGTCCCAGGAGATGCCCAAGGTGGAAGAGGAGGAGGAGGAGGAGGAGGAAGAAGGGCAGCGAGGGAGGAAGAGGAAAAAGGAACAGGATAGTTTGGGCCAGAAGGTGAAGCTGGAGGAGAAGCAGCACTACCCATGCAAGAAGTGCCCCCGGGTCTTCAACAACCGCTGGTACCTGGAAAAGCACATGAACGTCACGCACAGCCGCATGCAGATCTGCGACAAGTGCGGCAAACGCTTCCTGCTCGAGAGCGAGCTGCTGCTGCACCACCAGACTGACTGCGAGAAGAACATCCAGGTGAGCCAGCCCCGGGGATGTCCTGCCAGGGGATGGACATCCCACCAAGGGGAGAACAGCCACCATGGGGTGGAGCATCCCACCAGGGATGGACATCCCACCAAGGTTGGGGCATCCCACCAAAGGAATGGGATGCTCCAGTGTGGGAGGGGCATCCCACCCACCATGGAGGACATCCCATCCAGCTACACCATGGGATGGGCTCACGCTCAAATATTTTTGATGTTGTGGTTGGCACATGGCAGATGGGAGGGAACCTCATTTCACCCTTGTGACTTGTGTTCAGGCTCAGGAGGGTCCCATGGTGGTATGGGATGTGAGGGTTTGTGCCAGGGGACTGTGGCTTCCCCTTGGATGGCCGGGTGGAAGCATGGAGTAATTTTTGAGGAGTGATTTTCCTTTGAGTTTATTCAGTTAATCTGGATAAAACACTGTGAGCCCCTGATGGAGACACACTCCAGCTGTTCCCACCCAGGCTGAAACCAATTTAGCTTAATTCAAAGATTTGCTGACACAAGTTAAAATGGTTTTAATCTGCCTTTTGTGCTCTTTAGCTTGCGTATTAGCGAATTTCCGGATTCGTTTGACATCCATGCAGGGCTTGGGCTTGGTGTGTCCTTCACCTAGTGCTAACAGGATTGTGTGTTTGCAGACTGAGTCTGTTAAATCATTGCTGTTTTGGAGGGATAGGTAGGCATCCCATCAGAGCAGCAAATGTGTGTTCCTGCAGACCCCTCCAAACCATCCCCTAATCCCTGATGAGCTGTTTCGTGTGATGCTGCTGCTATTAATTAAAAGATACCAACTTCTGGAGAGCTTTGCCCATCATCCTTCCACCAGCAGCCAGATTTCAAATGATTTTGCAGCAATCCTAGGTGAAGGTAATGCAACCCAGCGCACACGGAGCCCTTTGCTGATGGTACCACACATAAAAGGGGAATGAAGCGGATCTCAATGTTAGGGTATATGGGGAACATGGAGACAGGAGCCGTCTTGGCTCAAGCAGGTGAAGGAGCCACTGCCTGCACTGACACTTTGACCCTGAAAAATTCACAGTGCTGCTTTATTTGAATGCTTTTTCCAAGAATGGGTGGGTGCAGCTCCGACACCTGCATCATGGCGGCTGTTTCAGAGCCTATCATAAAGCCTGTGCAATTAAAGTGAGTTTTCCCAGAACATTTCTTCAGCCTCATCAGCTTTCCTGATGGGTAACATGGGGCTGCCACCTTATTGGCTCCCTCCCCCCTGCTTTTTATCCTTTTTTCCAGGTCATTTCTGAATAGGATGAAGCACAACTGACTGTGTAGTGACCTCTTTCTGCAGAAAATGTGGATCATTACCTCTTACTTAGTTGAGCATTTTTAATTATACAAATAGCCAAATTCACTCCAGTTGCTCTGATAATATTGAATAATTTAATCAATATACCCTGGAATTATAGCTGTATGGAAAAGGGATTTTTTTTCAACTCTATACCTGTAATGACTGTCTTTATTTCTTGTTTTTTAACCAGATCTGTGGAGGGACCATCCCTCTTATCCCATTCAGGTTTGCTGCTTTATTTCCCTGTTTTGCCCCCAGATTTCATCCATAATGCTTTAGGTGTTAGGCTCCACCCTGTGATGGTTTCCCATCACTGTCCACAGGCCTGCAGACAGTGTAACAGACATCCTGCCTCCAACGCCTGAAAGCTGATTTGTCCATTGCTCTATTGGTTGTTTCTCAAACTCTTTGACCAGCTTCAGTATCTTAACCTGCAATAATTTATCTTCTCATTCCCCGCCCCCCCCCCCATTCAGATGCAACTTCTACATTTTCAAGTGATACTTTCTTACGATAACTGAAGGCAGAGCTCAGCGCTCCAGGGTGCTTGGTCCCAGCCTAGGGGCTTTCCTACATCTGCTGTTTTCCTTCTACCTTTAATTTTAGAATTCCCCTGCAGCCTTTTTCATTTTAAGTGCAGAAAATGGATATTGATGTGTCCTTGATACCAGGCTCTGGTCCTGAATTTGTCCTGAAGTGTTTCTTACAGCAGAGATAAAACTGTTCTTATCTGTCAAAATATATACTTAGAAAAACTCAGGGGACTACTCATGACTAGGTGAAGATGATGGATGTTGGAATGCCTCTGTGACCCTAATTTTGCCTCTTGGGTGTCTAAATAGAAATATATATGGAGAGATACTGTGACTACATGGCATAATGGGGTATTTTCCATGGTATCACAGCCTCATTTGGTGCAAAATCTGGTTGAAGCCCATCAACGAGCATCTGTTCCTCTGAGTAGGAGGAGAAGCCAGAGGAATCCCTCCCCAGGCTTACCCGTACCACTCAGCCGTGCTGTTGTGAGATGCCTCCAAGGCATGAATTACTTTCTTAACACATTTGTGAGGAGGAGGGATGCTTTTATCCTTGTTAATCAAGAGGAAGATGAGTCACGGAGAGATGAAGATCAAAGAGTTGACCCTTGGAAGAAAGAGAGACCCTTGGCGCCTGGCAGGGTCCTTAGCCACATGCTGCCTGCCATCCGTGTACTCCAACAATGGTTTCCTGTGTGGACCTTGCTCTCCAGTATGTCCCTGGGCACTGAACCGATCTCACATGCTTCAAACTGATCTCATGCCACAGCTGGAGCTTTTCCTGGGAGCTTTCAGAGAAATATCAAACTTGTCGGAACTGAGGCAAATCTCTCATAACTTCTTGGGGGGGGCTTTGCATGTCATGTTGTTCTGCTTGTGCTGATGAACTGGTTTTGAGGTCCATTTGGGTATGTTTGGAAAACTCATTTGGTGGTAAAACAACTGTAATACCTGCTGAAGACTGAAGTTGTGCTCCCTGGCTTGGGCTTCTTGTATTCTTTGCAGCCTTCTAATGCACAGAGGGTTGTGTTTTGTTTTTTTATGTAATAGCATCATTGTGTGCAAGAATTCAGTCCCCAGCTGGGAATAGAACCTTGGTGGGTGAGCTGCTGTTTATGCAAGTCCTAATTCAGCCATTGATGGAGATGCCGTGTCCTTCCCTGAAAAGTCATTGTTCCATCCTCATAGAAATCTGACTTTTGGAGGTTTTTAAGTGACAAGGTCTGTAGCGGACTTGTTGGTCATTTGATGTCTTAGCTGTAGGTTTCCTAGTGATGGTCCCTTTCAGTGGATTAAGCTGATAGCCTATTAAGGTGGAAATGCTGGTAGTCTCTGGGCACGTTCCCCTGCTTCCTTACCTATCCCCTCTCTCCTTGCAGTGTGTGACGTGTGGGAAGGGGTTCAAGAAACTCTGGTCCCTCCATGAGCACAACAAGATCGTTCACGGCTATGCTGAGAAGAAGTTCTCCTGCGAGATCTGTGAGAAGAAGTTCTACACCATGGCCCACGTGCGCAAACACATGGTTGGTGAGTGCAGGAGGCACCTGTGCCATGGGGAGACCTTGTTAGGGGTGTTCATCCATCGTTTTGGCAATGAAGGGTGTTTTTTTGTTGCTGTTGTGTTGGGAGTTTAGGGCTGGGCTTACTCTTGGGTGAGCTTTCTTACATCAATGCAGAGGCCTTGAAATTTGGCCCAGTATTTAATGCTGAATGTATGTCTGCTCAGTGCTGGTTTGGAGCAGTCAGACATGGTGCTGGGAAATCACACTTGTTTTATTTAACCAGAAAAAAAGACCTCAGAAGTGATCAAAGGAGGCTTTGAAGTGCAACCATCCTTCCAGACCACACCAGTGCCACGCTTTGAATAGCATATTGCACATGACAGTGGTGGTTGGGTCCCCAGGGCTTGCAGGCACCAAAGAGATCAAAAAATGGGGGGCTTGGCAAACAATGTGGGAAGTACCTGAAATGTTGCTGCTGTTTATATTCCCAAGATGGCATTGAATTTGCTGGGGTTGGGCACTGGTGTTGGGAATGGCAGATGGGACTTGGGGAGACAGATGTTCGAAGTGCAAGGAGGACCCCTGACACTGCTCTTCTCCACTTCAGCTCACACCAAGGACATGCCATTCACCTGTGAGACCTGTGGGAAGTCCTTCAAGCGCAGCATGTCCCTCAAGGTCCATTCACTCCAGCACTCTGGGGAAAAGCCTTTTAAATGCGAGGTAAGGTCCTGTGTGTCTTGTCACACTGCATCTTCTCAAACAAGGACAAAGCCACTGATATGGGGAAAAATCATCCACTTTTTGGACCTCCCCCCGATGCTTTGTGCCAGTACAGCTGTAGGGATGCTCACATGCTCTTCCAGACTTTGCATCACCTCCTGGTTTGAGGGTCCTACCAACCTTATGATGAAACTTATCCGATGCCATGATCTGTCCCTCCAGCGCCTGGATTTTGCATCCAACCCCATGTCCATCCAGCCTGAACACCGGGCTGGGTATATCCTAAAGAGCCATTTATTTGGGTTCTTTCTGGGGAAAAAAAGTGATTTCTTGCACTACTTCAACATGCTGGTGATTTGGGGGGAATGTGAGGATGTTCTAGGTGCTCATCAAAAGCTCATTCCCTTCTCACTTCTGCAGAACTGCAATGAACGCTTCCAGTACAAGTACCAGCTGCGCTCCCACATGAGCATCCACATTGGCCACAAGCAGTTCATGTGTCAGTGGTGTGGCAAGGACTTCAACATGAAGCAGTACTTTGATGAGCACATGAAGACGCACACAGGTGAGAGCTCCCCGCTTTGCCCACAGCCCCTGTAGGCAGGCACCCGGGGAAGGGGGATGGAATGGGGTAGCATCTTTGGGTGGATGGCAGGATGGGGTTTTGGCAGGGCACAGCCCAGACACCAGGGGACACCAGCTTCTCATCTGTCTTCCCCCACCCTTAGGCGAGAAGCCCTACATCTGTGAGATCTGTGGGAAGAGCTTCACCAGCCGCCCCAACATGAAGCGGCATCGCCGGACCCACACGGGCGAGAAGCCGTACCCCTGTGATGTCTGTGGCCAGCGCTTCCGCTTCTCCAACATGCTGAAAGCCCACAAGGAGAAATGCTTCCGCGTCAGCAACCCCTTGGCTTCGGACACGGCCATCCCCCAGCCTGCCACCAGCCCTGCTCCGTTGCCTCCTGGCCCTGGCGTCTCCCCCCTGCCCCTGCCACTGCTCCATCCCCTTCCACAGACCCTCCCTCCTCCTCCTCACCTACCGCCACCCCCTCCCCTGTTTCCTGCGGGCAGGGTAAATTCAAACAACAACTAGGTGCCCCCATCCTGGCCATGCACCCGCACAGACTGCTCAGCCCTTTGGGAACGCCTCCCCCCAGGGGAGCCAAGGCTTTGCTTGCTCTCTACCCCTTTTCCTCCTTGTTTTGGGGTTGTTTTGGTATGTTTTTCCTTTTTCTCACCCGTCGTTCTCCACAGAGAGGGGGAGCAGGAGGAAGCCCTCGGTGCAGGGTGGGGGGAGCTGCCATCCGTCCGTAAAGGTGTAGGTAAAAGGCATCACTTTCTGTTACATTTTCCCATGCATCAGCTTCATCTTCAGCCAGGATGCTGGTGATGCTTGGAGGAGCAGGATGCTGTGCCATCCAGGGTTGTGCTCACCGGTGGTGCACTCCCGCTTGCTAGCAGAATGAATGCCTGCTGGTGCTTCAATATTTATAATAAGCCGAAATCTAGTTAGTGGTGCTTGAATCCCTGTACTGTAAAGCTGGTCTTTCAATCCAGGCTCTTTTCCCAAGAGGCTGAGAGGTGAGCACCACAGAAGAGCCCCTGCCAGCCCTGTCTGCCAGCCCCGGTGGCCCGCGGCGGGTGAGCAGATGTCCCTGTTGGAAAGCTGTCAGCCTGCTGTCATTAGCAGCCCTTGCCATGTCTTCCTTCCCTGTGACAGGTTTTCCTCCTAGGTAGGCAAAAGCACAAACACCAGCGTTGCATCTCGGGGCATTGGCAGCTCACTGCCAGTTCACTTTTGGGGTGCCCTAAGGGAGTCTCTCTCTGGTGTGCCCTTTCTCCTAATCCCAGCAGGAGCTGGGCTCCTGGGGATGCTCTGGAGTTGGAAAATGTCCCTGGGAGAGCTCAGATGGCCTCGGGACCAGCGGGAATGTAGCCTGGGATAGAGAAGAAGGATGCTGCCATTTCTCAGCAGAATTGGCCCAGAATAGTGCCTTAACAATTTGAATAAACCCCTTTCTGATGGGTGAGTTCCAGGCTAGGTCCCATTGCAAGGTTTAGAGCTAAAGCCAGACCACATTCAGCCTGACAATTATGTCTCATCCTCCAGTTCATTGCCTGCATCGCTCTCCCAAGCTTTGACACTCCCTTTGGGGCTGTCATCTGTTTCCCTGCCCTGGCTTGGGGGGACCAGTGAGGGCTGTGTTTGATTTGATGATGTCCCACGGTATTGGTTAGCACTTCTTTGGCCATGTTGTGTTTGTTGAAGCTGAGTTGGTCTTTGGTTTCACTTCAGTTTGGCTTCATGCTGGTGGTAGGAGACTTTGCTGTTAACTTTTTATTGGTCCAAGCTGGGTATCTCGCTGCTGTGCTCTGCATCAGGGAGTCACACATTGGCCTGTCCGTGGCTGTGTGGTCTTTCTTCCAGGAGAAATGTCCCCTTTGGAGCTGGGGAGAGATGCAGGGGCTGCAGAGTATCCAGCATGGGCAGAGAGGTGCTGGCCAAGAGGTAGTGTGCATAGCAGTTGTTGTCTTGCTGTCAAGGCCAGCGCTGCAGATGCATGTGGTCAGGTTGTGGAGAAAGTCATGAGCTATTGGTAGGCAAGACGGAAGAGAGGACCTTGAGCAGGCTGCAGGAGCCCTTTCTTATTTGCATCTTGTTCTGGGTGACAGCAGGGTGCTGAACACAGTGGGCACAGGCCACATCTGGCCCTGCAAGAAATCTTGGTGCTTTGTCTCTTGGCCTAAATCAGCAAAGTGCTTGGGCAGCACTGAGGCTGTCCCTGCAGAGATGGGAGGATTCATCCACGTGTTCGGGGGCTTTGCTGAATGGGAACATTCAGGAACATTGCCCTGATAGGGACAGGACAGGGGAGCATCTGCTGTTGTCCTGACTGCTGTTTGACATAATGGGTTAGGTGACTATTGTTCCCTCCTGCTGAGTGGTGGTCCCCTGTGCCTGACGTCTCCAGAAAGCTGGCTGCTCTTGTAGATGTCAGCATTTTGAAGCAACAAATCACTTTTCATCTTCATATTGGCTGGGATCCTGTGGACTCCTAACACTGCAGTCAGTGCCAGTGGGCTCACTCTCATCTTCATCTGCTTTGAGCAAATGGAGGGTGCTGTGACAGAGCTGCCTCACCATATTGACCTTCTGAGATGGGTACCAAAGGCTTCTTTGCTCTCCTTCATGACCCTGGGGCTTATTAGGATGGTACAAACCCTTCTCAAACACACACCCATGGGGGTGGTCTTGGGGCCATTGGGTTTCTGAAGGGACCATGAGCCAAAAGGGAAGATGATCGTTTTAGAGAAGCATTCAGTGGTATCCTTGGATGTGTTGGAGGGCCTCAGTAGAGTGGTCCATGCTGTCTCCTCCTCCACTGCCTCCCAGATCACATCCCCTAGGACTCCCTTGTGCTTCTTACCTGTCACACTCAGCCTTGAGATGGGATAGGAGCACTGCACCCCAAGGAGGGCTGACCTTGCCTGTGTAGTCTTTGTGATGGACTGCATCAACCTACCTGGTTGGTAGACTTCTGCCCCCAAGTAAACACACCAACATTTGCTCCCTTGTACCTCTCACCTGGAGGTGGCTTTCCGTATTCCAGTTTGTCCTCTCCCAGTGAGGACCTGTCCCACTTGTATGCCACTGTGAGATGAGAGCACCTTGTTGAGGCTAGAAGCCCAGCAGAAAGCCCAGTGACTGATCCCATCTGTGTTTGATCCCCTTCAAGAGCCTGCTCATAGAGCCACTTGGAGACGTCGAGATGTGACCATGCACACAGCACTTTGGAGAACCAGATCCCTGCTGCTCCTTCCCCTCTCCAGGGCCTGGGCAGTTCCCAGGAGTCCTACGTGGCCTCTGAGCCCTTTTGTCTACACCCTTACTCGGCCCCAGTGTGTCTCTTCATGTCTGGTTTTCGTTAATGTACTAAGAGCTCAAAACGAGTCAGTCCCGCATCTATCCCAGTTGGCCCTGTTGGCACCTGTTGGGTTAGACAGGGCGGGAGGTGGGGGAGTTGGGTCCGTTGCTTTCAAGCTTTTTATGGCTTATTTTAATTTTTTTCTTTTTTTTTTTTTTTTTTTTAAACTCTTGCACCTTAATCTCTCACATCCCTTCTTCCACAGACTGCGAGGGTGGAGAGTGGCTTGATTTCCATTACGCAGTTCATGAATACACTGCAACACAGTGCTCAACTGACAACTCTGCCTGTGCATCTAGCCCCAGACCTGTCTGGGTTTGAAATTCCCCCCTCCGCTTTTATTTGAACTCTGGGAAGGGAGGGAGTCATGTGGGGGGGGGGGGTCATTTTTTGGTTTATCTATCCCAGGAGCCTGGTAGCACAGACCAGTTAGCCTCATGGTGCCCATGAGGCACAGCTGGCCCTTCGGACCACAGCCATAACCCCAGCGCGGTGGGAAGGTGGTGATGGATGGACAGCCGGCAGGTGGGAACGGCTGTGACAGTGCAATAGAAATGAGCATCCGCTGCTAGACAACTCCACTGATTAAACTCTTGGTTTGCCTGAAGTCGAGAGGGAAGGATGGACAGACAGACGCCCTTTGTTCACACGGACGGAGAGAGCTTCCCCACATGCAGCCCTGCCTAGTGACATGTAACCATGGTGGGAATTGAGTCGAACTTGCAAAGGAAGAAAATCATTTAAAAAAAAGGAAAAAAAAGAGAAAAAAAAGAATAAGAACAACCTCAGTAGCATGGAACTTGAAGGAAATGAATGAAACCCCAAGCACTTGCCTCAAAACGAATTTCTCATGCCTGGTGTTTGGCTCTGTATTATTTTACAGCATTCAGTATCATTGCCCAAACATGCCAATTTACGAGTGTATCAGTGGCTCTACTAGTGTGAACAAACTAAATGAAGCACTTTATTCTGTATAGGTAAGGGAAGGTGGGGAGGGGAAGCTTGGATGCTTTTCGGAAGCGTCTTAAGTAATGTTCTAGGAAATGTATTATTATTACTTTTTTTTTTATGACCATGTGTAATCAATATATGTTTATCTTTAACTCCAAGTACAGCAGTTATTCTCTTTGGGATTGTGTGATGAGGGGGAGGCTGAAATGGTTGGGTTAGTCCATCAACATGGGGCCAACTGGGGCAAGTCATTGCCTACTGTTGGAACGGGCAAGTCTTGGTTCATTGACAGCCCCGTTGGCCAATGTCCGGGAGGTCCCAAGAGGTGCATCAAAGCTGCCTTCCAGGGCACAGCTCACAGTCAGCCTTGGCACCAAGGGCCCAATCTGCATCCCCATCCCAAACGGTCTTCTGCCTTGGGGTGCTGGGGCTGCTCTCTGGGCCACCCATGGGCAAGAGGAGTCATGGTAGGGTAGGCTGTTTCGGGTTGTCCCTAGAGGCCAGGTCCTTGGCCATGCTTTTGGCCTCTCACCAAGGCACATCAGCTCTGACAGTGGTGAGAGGTCAGAACTGGGCCTTTCCACTGCGTTCTCCCAGTCTGGAAGTGTTATGACTGTTACCAAAGAGGTTGCAAGTGGAAGGACTGAATCAATAAACAATTTGTCTTTTATAAAAGAAAAAGTAAAGCTCCACCACTTTCTTTGTTACCTTAATTTTTATGTTTGGTTAGATTTTAAAGGCCCTTTGCAGGCAGTTGTGTGAGTTGGCAACCAGGCAGGATGGGCATGTTGACTGCTGCTGTTGCTTTGTATGCATAGACTTTGTATTGGGTTTGGTGGGAGGCGAGTGTGTGTGTGTGAGACAATTAGACTGTTGCTGGGCAAATAAAATAGCTTTCCAGGAAATGCTGATGAGTGAATAGAGGAAGGGGTTCAGTGTTTACAGCCCAGGGGGAATATTAGGGAGGGTGGGGGCTGATCTCCTGGATCCTACTGGCCCCAAGAGGTTTGGGTGAGCTACAAGCTGTGTCTCTTGGAGCTCCTCTATAGGCAGTGCAGAAATCAAGGAGCCCACCCAAAAGCACCCAGTGCCTTTATTGATTTAAAATGAAGTGGTGGGAACCTTGCCAGCTAACATCAGCACTGATACTGGGAAGGTAATAGAAAGAGAGATGATTTTTCCCACCCTTGGGGTGCACCTTCTCCTTTGCCGCTGGCATTGCCTTTAGAAGATACCCATGGGGTGACCTGTGCCCCTGGAGCTGTGCACGGAGCAGCAGTGAGCAATGATGCCTCTCTGAGTATTCATGTTGGCATTTCTTATCTGTGACTGCCTTTGGACTGAAGCAGCCTCTTGGTGCGGTGGTGGTCTGCATCTCTGGGCTACACTTTTGCTTGGTGACGTGCAATCTTGCTGCCTTCCTTGGGCCAGCGCTGGCTTTCATGCACTAGTTTTGCCCCTCCTTGCTCAAGCAATGGGGTATGTCAAGCTCTTCTGGGTCCTCTTGTACAACAGCTGTTTTTCCTTTTATAGTTTCTTGCCCTGAGCCAGTGGTGGCATCTCCCACAGCTTTACAATGAATGTGAACCACGCAAGAGCACTAAGCTCTTATTAACTGTATTCCTGATAGGCATTTGTGAGGTGAGTGACCAAGGATGAGGGCCAGTTTCAATCACCACTCCTCAAGCTAATTACAAGGGACCACTCCATAACAACTCACTGAAGCTCTGCAACATTCCCCACTGAATTTAAAGGGCTCAGATTTCCCCCAGGAGAGCCAAAAAGCTGGTGGACAGGCATTAACCCTCTCTTAGGACCAAGTGTCAACAGCTTGCCATTCTGCATCCAGCAAGAAGAGCTTTAAGCAAAGGTGTTGATGTCTAATCCCGGGCAGGAGGTGGTGTGCTGCCACTGCAATAAATGACTGTTGAGAAATTGTTATTCTATGCATGGATTTCTTTTTTCTTCTTATTATTTTTCTTTTTCTCTGCTGCCATAAGCTTTTCTACATTTGGCAGATTCAGCTTCAATTAGCTTGGGAGTTGTCCACAAGAATTTCTGCAGAACTGGGTAGGATGTGATTTTTAATTCTTTTTTTTCTTTCTTTTTTTTTTTTTTTTTTTTTACATACTTGACAGTTTCAAAGTTTTTGTGTTTTTTTTGTGGTTTTTTGTTTTTTTTTTTTTATAACCTATTTTGTGAGAGCCAGTCACCTTGGATTTATTCTTGTGAAAATATTTCATTACTCTTCTGATGTGATTGCCCTCTAAGGAGATTATCCTGTAACTTTTTAAATCCTTAAAATGAAACCAGGACAAGACTCTGGTCCCTTTACTCATGCCAAATTGTCTTTCCTTCCAAGTTTGAGTTTCCCTGTGCTACATTTTGAACCTGATGAATCAGCCAGATACGATCTGTGATACCATAATTTTCATGCTGCTTTCAGGGAATTATTTTGCAAGGTTTGTATTTGGTGGTGTTTTTATTACTGATTATCACTCCTGTTCATGGTATCAGACCATGTAGGCACCAGCTTCCTAGGTAAGCTTCTACTCCCGTCTCTGGGGAATAGCTGTAAGGATATGAATGCTAAAGTTTCAGCTCCCAAACTGGGGGAAAAATAAGAAGAATAAAAGCTGGGGCTCTGCTAGGGCTCTCCACGGAGCTGGCTTGCTGCATATGTTCATCACTGTTTGCTGCTCCTTCTGTTTAGTTGCTGTGGACATTCAGTTACAGCTCTGTTAACTCGCAAACACGGGAGATTTCTTCTGAAATAGCATAATAATTTATTTTTAAATAAACCACTGCTCAGATGGTGTGGGCATGAGGAGATTTCTGCTCTAGCAGATCTTTGTCCTGCTGCCAGTACAGTCATGTTTCTGTCAAAGCATCATTATGGATAACTTTAAAATAAATACGCATTTTTCCTCAGTAGGAGGCTGTCCTAGAGCCGAACACATCTGAGATCTCCATGAACCCAGCAAGCTAGAATACTCTTAAAAAAACAAACAAACAAAAGTTACAACATTAAAAATGAGAGAAACAGCATTAATATAAAACCTTTCCCTGAAAAACAGCACTTGTCCATCTATAGGTGAGGACATTGTAATCTGTGATTGAAGATGAGGACCCCAAAAGGCTGAAGATGAACTCATATGGCCTACTGTTCCCATCACTCCCTGCTTTCCTACCCTGCTACTTGCACAGCTTTTCCCTTTCTGCAGCCCTCATCTCCTGGCCTCCAAAAGTCAAGGAGGAGGTAAAAAACTAAGACTCTTTTCATAGCAACTTCCACTGTTTCTCCTGCCCATGCTCACTTGCTCTTTTCTTTTAACTGTCTCATTCCAACAACCCTCATCACTTGGAAACTCATCAAGTTTCCCCCAGGTCTTTGCTCTACTACTTCTCCTACCCTTCCTTTTCTTCTCCAAGGTGGGCTCTAGCACTATGTTCACAGCTACCTTAAGTGGGGAAATATTTCATAGGCCCATTTCTTTGGAGAATGTCAACTTAGCTCCTTTGGACCCACTTTCTGCCTTCACTGTCGGCTGGGGAGGTTTAGCAGCAGGTGAGAAGATAGGGAAAGCATGGAGAAAGAAGCAGAACAAGCGTATGATCTTTTTGTCCTGTCTAGTGATAGTGGAACAGCTCATTGCTCCATGCTTCTCAGTCTACCCCAGCTCCTTGCAGGCTCCAGAACGCTTCTCTCCTTCTCTAGTTATCTTGTGAGCATCTTCAGGTTCCCATAGGGCTTCAAGATAATTTCCTCCCTTTCCCATTTAAGTAAAAAGGTATCAATCACAGATGCAATGTCCTACACAGTATGCAGATGCCACATCCCTGTGCTGATAAGCATGGCCTCACGTCCCCCCATCCCTCCTTGCCCCAGACCCCCCTGGAAAATAAATAAATCAGGCTTTGCTACATCTTCGTTAGGCGCAAAACGTTGAGGCGGACGGGAAGGAAAGTGGCACCAGAGGCGTACTGGATCTCCCGGAGGACCCCTTCCCACTTCTTCTGCTCTTCATCATATCTGGGGACAAACAGACAGTTATGGTGAGGAAAGCTTCTCTCCTCTTCAGCTGCTCTCCATGGTGGTGGTAGCCCATGGTGTGATGTCCCATAGGCATTATTTGGCCACAAGATGCCTGTGGAAGCTGCATGGGGACTTTCAGCCCTGATCTGGTCTGGTTTGCAGCATCAGGCTAGGGGACGTGGGTATTAGCACGCTGTCTCACTAGGGAAGGTGTGTTTTTCCATTGGGAAAGGGTTTGATGGCACCAAGACTGAACATCCATGGTGAGGGCCAGTGGGTGCCTGCTGAGGGTGCTCTAGAGCTACATATGCGAAGGACAGGAGCAGCTAACGCTCTATTGGCAGCCATCAGAAAGTGCTTTCTGCCCACTTCTCTGATCACACATAAGACTATCAGATTTCCAGCCTGAGTACTGGCTTTCCCCAGGAGAGGATGCACTGCAAAAATGCTGCTTCACACCAAAGGGGAGGTCCGGAACAAGCTCCAGGCAAAATGTCAATGCAGCAATAAAGCTAAAGGAGCCAATTTTCACTGGTACTTTGCTATATGAGGCTGGGAGAGATCATTGAATCACCTAATGTGCCCTCCAGCACAGCACAGGGCAGACTTCTCACCCACAGACCCTGCAGTGAGCATCCAGCATTGTGCTGGTGTAACCAACTCACTGAAGGCATCGAGAAAGACAGAAACTACCTATTCCCCCAGTGGCTCCCACTAGCATCCCTCCCATGCTCCCATGGACAGCCCTAGGGAAGATCATCACCTCCAAACGTCGTTCAGCTCCGTTGGCACCAGCTCTCCCGACTCTGTCTCCACTGTGGCGAAGCCTCCAAGCAGGTAGAGCACCCCAGCCAAGCTCACCAGGCTGACGGAGCTGCGCTCCTGCGGGAACTCAGTAAAGGTTTCCCACCTGCCACGTAGCAAGAGGAGACACGTTAGAGAACTCTGCCTACCCCTATGCTGAGGCTGGCCTCAAATCAGGAATCGATGACTGAATTAACTAGTGATGGTTTAACCTGTGTAGGTCTCCTTGGGATGGGATCGTGCACCAGCTGTTGCTGGAGATACCTGTCTCCTATCATCATAGTTCAGCTTCATTTTGCACTAAGTGAGCTGTGAAGCATGCCTGGCATGGACTAGCATGCCCCAGCAGTGGGCCTGCGGCTGCAAGGCTGCGGTAGCACTGATGATGCCCAGCTGTCCGAGAAGTACAGACTGTGAGTAATGGTACCAGGACATGAAAGCAGACTCCAGAATGGCTGGAAGTTACTTAATGTACACCTGTGGCTGCTCCTCATCTACCTACCCCCTGCAGCTGTGCTCAGGTACGTACTTGTTGGTGGCAATGTCATAGACTTCCACTGAGTTGGTTAAGCCGGAGTCAGTCACACCAGCTGCCACGTAGATCTTGTCCTTATGCACAGTGGCTCCGAACAAGGAGCGGGCAGTCTTCATGGAACCTAGCTCTTTCCACTCAAACTTGGATGGGTTGTAGACACACATCTTTTTCAGGCACTTCCTAGAGAAAGATGAGAGAGACCAGGAGCCTTGATCACTTGCCCAGGGGTAGCTTTGCAGCATAGGAGATTGGGGATGCCCACTGGGAGAACAGGGCGTCTCTAGAAAGGATTTTTCTCCTCCACATCACCATGCATGCCTTTGTTTGGGTATGTACCCAAAGGTGCCCATGGCTGGAGACATCATCTGTGTGTAAAACATATCCCCTTCTGCTGTGCTCGTTTTGGGTAGGATTCATGAAAGTTCAGTATAGTGCTCACAGAGTTGGATATGGGTCCATGTAGCTAACTGCCTCTCAGAAACTTGCACATAGCCATCAAGACAGTGTTTCAGTGCTCCTGATCCAGCTTGATGCTGCAAAATATGACCAGCAGCATCCCTGTCCCCATGAAGGCAATGTAAGGTGTGTGAATGTATGCACGCTCACACTTTTCAGACCAAAATCCCTTCAGAGCAGGACCTATCTTTGCTGGAATTTGTCACTTTTGCTCTGCAGTCACACTTTTGCCTTGTAAAGCAATGGCTGCAGTACTCCCCAAAAGAGGCTGTTTCTGCTGAGCCTGTCTCCTGCAGGAAGGCAGGATGAAGATCAGATTTGATGAGGTTTTTCACTCCTATTACAAATACCCATCTGGATTTGACTACTAGGAATACACTATTCCACAACAAGTCGCAGACAGGAAACCCTCAATGTGAAGGAGTTTCTTCCTCTTCAGTGCCTGTTGCAATCCCTGTGACATTTATATTGTGAGCAAAGGGGTTGATATGTTCCCTTTCCTGCAAGGACAGTACCATCTCCCTGATGTCCCTGTGGGACTTCTAAGGGCTTGGGAAGGACTGCAGTCACAGGAGCAAGCTGAGAGGGAAGGATCCACTTCTCATACCCTTTCTAATCCTCTTAACCTATATAGGATCCACGCTGGGGGAGGTACCAACTCATGCTCTGCACTCACACTGGTCTGGAGGATGACTCCCTGAGTTTCTCTTGCTTTTTGACTTACTTATCGCTTCCTTTTCCACCGATGACATAGACGAGACCATTGTGCGATACCACCGCATGGCCATAGACTGCATAGGGAAGGGAATCAGCTTCACCCCACTTGAAGGACCTGGATTAGAGAAAGATTGGAAACAAAAGGATTTGTAGCTTTCTGAGTGAGGCCTAGAGTACACGGCACTTTCTGAACCTAGGGGTGGTCACAGATCCTAACTCAAATCTCAAAACCAGGAGCTTCTCAATCAGATAGGGCTCATGAGTGAATTCTGGGATCCTAAAAAAAAGGGGGAAATGAAATATGCAGAATGTTTATGCTCACACTCTTTATTTTCTGCAGCACCCCCTGCTCTTAAGTTTTTGGATCCACATCCCCACTTCTCCCAGGATTTCACCTCATTTGCAGCCATTACCAGCTGACCACGAACAAGGCAGATTTCTGCATGACAGAAAAAAATTAAAAACAATGAGACTTAGGGGTGCAAGGTCCTGAAGGTGAATGTTTTTTTGGCCACCGCCTTCCACTTTGAGGTGCTTTGGTTGGCCAGCACTCAGCAAGGGCCCACAGGAGTGGGTATATCCACATTGTGCATTGCAGGGCTGTGATAAAGCCTCTGAGCTAGTTCTGGGAAACCCCAAACTGGTACCCAAATAGGGCTGACCAATTTCTTAACAGGTGCCTGTTCATATCCGTGTAACCTAGGCTTGCCCCCAGTTTTCATACGTGTAGATTGTAGCCCCCAAGACCAGCACTTTATTTTACTTAAGAACTGACTGTTTTCTAATTGGCCAACCCATCTGGGCAAAAGAGCAGCATTTTGCCCTTTCCAGGTTTGTTATAGTTGAAATCTTGACTTAAATAATGCTAGAAATGCAGGTGGTGCTGATCCCATCTCTGCCAGCTTCAAATCAGTATTCAAGCCACCCCCTGAGCACTCAGTGGGGGCAGACACAGGGGCAGATGAATGCCCCATTCTGTGGGAATGAAACTGGTTTCAAATCTTTGCCTATAAAGCAGGCTTTGAAACACACACATCTAGATATAAGCCAAACAAAGTCTTGTCAATGTTTACTGCTCTGCCTCTTTGGTAACATCTCTTCAAATGCTTCTGACTCCTGCGAGCAGAAAAGGATGGTGCTTTCTAATAAAGGTTATGACCTAGTGTAGATCAGAGCCCATTGTCCAGAAATGATTGGATATTAAGCCTGATATCCGTTAGGCTGCTCCATTTAGTGCCGCATCTGACTATTATCAAAACAAACTTTCCTGTTCAAAGCCACACCTGGTGAGATCATGGTGAATGTCACTGGATCTCCAACCAATGGGCAAGAGCAGAAGGAAAAACTCCTCTCACTCCTCTGTATACTCCTCACATAAACATCTACTAAGATCAGTCCCTGATAACATAATGTCCCCATTACAGCTCCCATCTTGGGGAGGTTCAGTTACAATAAATGAAGCAGCTGGACAGAGACAGCTCAACACCCCAGGGTACAGCCTGAGATAGTCCCAATGGTCCCAGCATCTAGATGCAGAGTTTGAGCCCTGCCTCCTAAACCCTTCAGCCCCTGGGGAGCTGGAGTCGTTTTCAATGGCAGCTGCTTCACCTTCTCCTGTAAGCCACCTCCAGCCCCACACTTGCATGTGAACACTTACAGCCGGTCGTAGCACAGGACCGAATCCAAAGTCTTCTCTCCCTCTTTCAGTTCTTTTCCTCCGACCACGAAAATAGAGTTTTCTGCCTCTCCCAGGCCAAAGAGGCAGCGAGGGGAAGGCAGGGGAGGCATTCCCAGCCAGTCTGCGTCCAGATGGTCATACTGAAAGGGAACACATGGTCATAAGTGTGTGCTCACCCAGCACATTTGCTTGTCAAAAATCAGGGCCCAGAGGCTGAGGGAAAAGTCTATTCCCATGTGCAGCTTGGTCACCCCAGTAGGCACTTCCTGCAATGCCTGTGCCTTACCATCTGGTCAGAAAGGGAGATTTTAGTGCAATTCCAAGTCATATATTATATGACATATGTTTTATGACAAGGCACAAGAGAAGAGATGCAGCAGCATGAACATATTCTTATCTATGCACAAAAGCCTTGACTTAAGGTTGGTCATCATCAGAGGAGAGAGTCCCATGTTGGGCCTATAATGGATAGTTCCTGGGACTGGATTTGCTGAAGCACTTGAATCCTAGAATTTTTGCCTGAACCTCTTCAGGTGTAACCCATGCCACAGCATTTCATCCTGATACTTTCCACCTCTGCCAGGTACAGCATAGCGCTGGCTACACAGCTCACTCTCCTGAGCCCCTTCTTTTCCCACCTATTCTTCTTTCCTGCAAATGGTCAGTTACCGTGCTCCACTACACCTCTGCTTCTTTAGGTACTGATATTGTCCTGTATCACCTCAGTGTGTGTGAATTCATGAGATGAACCATACGTGAGTCTATCTGCATAACAGCTATTTACACAATACTTACCTACCCAACACAGTACAACATGACTGAGATGCTGCTGCAAAGACCAGAACTCTTCTTGCTGACCGAAGTGTGCCAGACCTATCTGATAGATGGAAGACTGATTCATACAGCACTACTAGATCAGATGTCCAAATCCTTGCAGATCCTTGGACATCTGTAGATCAAGGCATTGCCTCATCTCCCACCAGAAAAAAAGGATGTGAAAGATTATGATGCTGGGAGCAATCTGTGCACCATGGCTTGATGGGAACTGTAAACTGGGGCAAAAACATTAAATATAGCAGAGAAGGGAGGAGGCCAGTTTGGTGGGACCCTGCAAGATGGAGCTGTGATGCAGCATTGCCTGAAGCACTGTTTGCTGTGGGCTCAGGCCAAAGAACTTCAGCTTGCTGGGTTGCCTCCAAAAACTTGGCCTCAGCTGGGTGCCTGTGGTTATTGTCTCTTTGTAATCTGTGGTCCACATATGGGTTATTTATAGTCAATCCTGAGCAGCTCAGTCACCAGGATAGTTAGTTCCTGCTTCTTGATGGATTCAGCATTGTTTTCAAGTCATTAATCTTAGAACTGACAAATAAAGGATTTGCATCTGAAATGTTGATAGGATCCTTTTGTTCCTGCCAAAATTTACAAGGCCTCTGGGATTTATCAGCATTTTTGTATTTTGGTGCCTGTCCTTCAGTCTAAACTAACCCTGACCTAACTGTGCTGGCTTCAGCAGGAGGAATGTGAAACTGGGGGGACAGAAACAGAGCCAGAAGGTTGCTGCTGCACTGGCACGGTGGTTCAAAGTTTTGCTGTACGGCTGCCTGTCCACATTTGTGTGAAGTTTCTTCTTAAAAAGAAAAAAGACTCAAAAAGTCTCTCTTGCTCGTACAGGAGCCTCAGGCTATGTAATGACACTGATGGCAATAAACTACACCTTTGAAACTGATGGCACTTTCCAACCCTGGGAGGCTTGTCTGCAGTTCCCATGCATGAGTGCCACAGAAAGCTGTGATGGGAACACTGTCCCCTTCCTGTGGGCAAGGCAATACAAACAGCCACATGATACCCAAGGCATTTGCTACTGAGTCAGTGGCAAACTGGGAGCTGAATATAGAAACTTTGCTGTTTTCAGCTTAGAATCATGGAATGCTTTATGTTGGAGAGACCTCCAAAGGTCTTTCATCCAACCCCCATGCTCAGGCAGGCACAGCTTTGGAGCAGGAGCAGGTTGCCAGGGCTTTGTGCAGTCAGATATTAAGTGTCTCCAATGATGGAGGTTTTGTGACCTCTCTGGAGCCCTGCTTCAGTACCTCACCACCTCAGCTGGGAAAACTTCCCTCGCAACTAACTGAAATTTCCATTACTGCAACCGGTGGCCATTGTCTCTTGTCCCATCTTTGTGCAAATCCAAGAAGAGTTTGGATCCCTCTTCTGTGTCCCCTCTTATCAGGGACCCGCAGACACCAGTGAGATCTTCCCTTCTTCTCCAGACTGATCAGACCCAGCACACCTCCAGGGACACAAACAGCACTAGAAATGAGGCACGTACTGCTAGGTGGGGAAATACCCTTTGTCCTTGGGGTGTTTGCTTTGTGGCTGTAGCTGCTGCTGTTGCTTTGTTGCCACTTGGCAGAGTCATCCTTAGGTTTTGCTGGGGATTCATAATACAAAGGATGCAAAGCAGAACCCAGACATGATGTCACTAACCTTCCAGCAGCAAGGGCTGGACAAAATACAGTGTTCAAAGTGGTTCCCTATTCAGGATTTGAATGAGGAAGGCTTATTCCTTTTACTTACTCCGTCAAGCCTCCTTCTCCAATTACCAAGATGCCTTTAGTGGGATATGCCTTAAAAATATAGGGAGAAGAGTGAAGCATCTCAGATGTTTCACCTTCATTTACAACTTTCATTTTAGTACCGTATGACAATGAATGTTACTTTTATCACTAAAGACAGGTGAGGCTCCAAAGTGGTCAAGGAAACAAGAAAAACAAAGCTAGTACCTGTAGGAAGTAGGAACTCATGGGATCCTCTTTGCTATCCTCATTGTAGTACAGTCCTCCAACAATGAAGATCTGATTCTCTTTGGTCACCAGACTGACGTGATTCTTTGGGATTTGAGTAGACAGGGAGGCAAAATAGCACTCGTTGGCAGTGGGATCATAGGCCACTGCTCCACTGTCGCTCACCATGAAAATAAGGTCCTGGAGGAACATCCCAAAGCGCATTGTGTCGTTTAAGATCCCTGGGAGAGCATCCTCCTCTGTATCTTCCTCCTCATCTACTGCTCCATTGACAACATTGTCTTTCTCTTGTTTTTCATTGCTTTTCTTCACTTTCTTCTTCCTCACCACAGTGAATTTGCCTTTCTGGGCGTCCTTCACCATTTGCAGTTTCTTGAGCAGCTCTGGACTGGACTTCACCATCGCGTGCTTTTCCACGTGGTCCTTCATGTAGTCATTGGGCATGAGGCGGAAGCGGATGCTTTCAAAGATGACAGGCAAGGCCTTCTGCCGGCTGTCATGGTCCTTGGTCCCCACCCACTTCATCACTACTTCGAAGACAGTCTCCTCTTTCTCAATGTTGAGGGAGTCACTGGAGATGATTGCAATAAGCTCATCGGGGGACAGCTGGTAGAACTCCTCATCACGAGAAACCAGCGCAAAGCGATCACAGATGAAATCCCTAGCTGCCACGGCCAGCCGGGCACAATCCAGCATCAAGCCCAGCCTGAAGATAGCCAAGCAGTTGCTGAGGCAGAGCCGCTTCTGCAAGTAGGACACGCAAACAGTGAAGATGGAGGGGATCTGGAACATGTTGGCCACGGAGAAGATGTCCTGCACATTCTGTTCTGTGATCTCCAGCTCAGAGGTGTAGATATAATGGAGGATCTTGCCCATGACATCTGGATCAACATCTTCCAAACTGACCTCCCTCTTCTTGCTCTCTTCCATGTCCGAGAGGAACATTGCTCGGAAATATGGGCTGCATGCTGCCAGTACCAGCCGATGGCAGGGAAACTCTTTTCCCTTGACTTTCAAGACACAGTCCAGAAACTTATTGTGGTCCAACATGTCTTTGAGTCCATCCTGGAGAAGAGTTTGCTGGTAAAGACGCAATTCTTCCGCTTGATCTAAAGGCAAACCCATGGTGAAGACCTTCCTCCTTTTTTTCCCAATCCTTCTTTTATAGATATATATTTATGAATATGTTTATATCTAAGCCCCTGGTAAAGAAACTTGTTCAAAGCAGGGCTCGCGGTCTTCCTTGCTTCCAGTCTGTTGGCACAGTGGGAATGTGAAGCGCTTGCTACTATCGCAGCTGTTTGTGTACTTCAGTTTCCAGCGTAGGGCTTTATATATAGCCACAGCGCTACAAAGCTTAAGGAATCTATACTGAAGCATGTGTAAGCCGATCACCCTTTAATATGACACATTGGACAAGGAGGAAGGGAGGGGGCCGGGGGAACAGCTGTAATTCCAGCCTCCATGCTTCAGGAAGGGTCTGTCAGCCCATGAGTCACCCTAGGGGGAGCAGGAGTTCTTGCTGCCATGTCATGACGGGAGACATATGTGACCCATTGGCTCAGCCGCTGTGCTTGGGAAACAACCTCCAGATGAATAGAACGTCTGAATCTGCCTTCTGGGTCATGAATGGCAAGGCTGAGACCTTCTCCCAGCACTGCTAAAATGACTGCTCTGAAACTCCTAAACCTTTTGCCGTGCTAAAAATAGACAGTGAAGTCAAAGCTGGAAAGATGCAATAAGGGAGCGTCTTATGTGGGCCTTGTGGCATTCCTGGCTCCAGCCAGCTCACTCCCAGGGCTGCTTTTCTGCACAGGTTTGTCCTTTATTCTCCTATGGAGTCACTTTTCAGGGGTCTGGAAGGGCTGGAAAATGAAGATAGAGCTATTTATTTACATCCCTGTATGGGATATGACACCTAAGCTGGAAGTTACTTAAAAAGTCTCAGTTTTTAGAGGAGACTTGAGGAGCCTGGGAGGGGAATAGCTCTTTTTGCCTACAATACATGCATGGGCCCGAATGGCACAGTCTCTGGACACCTCACTGTTAATAAATCCATTTTTACACATCTTGGTGACAGAAAGTCTGAGGCAGTAGGTTGAGAAGTAAAGAGAGAGCAACAGAGGGCTTCAGCTCACAGGTTAAGATTTCTAAACACTGGTATATTCTTGTAAGTTGAGGATCTCCTGCTAAGGCCTACTGAGATTCAACACCCTTATGTTAAAGCCTAGAGCCACAGCAGGACAACCTGCCTTGCCTTGGGCTGATGTTCCAGAAATGCTGAGTCTCCAGCAGGTCTAATGTCCTGCTTGCATACCATGGATGTCTAGGAAGCCCCACGGGTCTTCAAACGGCCAGTTTTTGTCCAGCTCTTCCCATGAAGCTCATGAAGGAGCAAATTAGTTTGGATAGACATGGGTGAGCAGAATAGCTATAATTATACCTACAATAAAAATTGTACATGTATCTGTTTTATCTCTGTTACTATGGACCCTTTGGGCTGGCAGACACTCAGTTATGGCACAGATTTAATTAACGATCTAATTAAGTCTATGCAAAGATATTAGCCACTCTTCTTTGTGTATTTAAAGCCACATTAACCCCTTACCCTGGCATGGATGTATTTATAAAAGTGCTTTGTGCTTTTGTCTACAGACGTGAGAAGAGGGAGGGAACTATATTGGTATGAAGCTCCTTTGGTACTGGTGAGGTTCCAGCAGCATCTGGGAGGTACCAATATAGCAGGGAAATAATCATAAGCTGGTTTTGGAGCTCACATGATAAGCTCTTCTGCTGGGCTGCTCATCTGTGATGGGATCAGGCAGTGAGAGCTGATCTTTGAACTGGGTCAAACTTTAGAAACGTTCCCGTGTTCCCAGACACGAGGGGCTGGACACTCCCATCCTCTCCTCTCCCCTCCTCTGCAGTAGTTCTGCTCTTTCCCAAGTTTAATCATAATGTCGTGCTACCAGCAGGGATTTTTTCCCCTCTGCCTTTAATATCCCTTGAGCCTGGGTTGTTTTCCTTTTCACTGTGCTGCTCAGTGTGTGCTGCCATCCAAGGTTTGCTTCCATGTTCCCTGCATCACAGAGTGTGGCTGCTGAAGTGCAGCTACAGCCCATCCCTTCTCAGAGGTGCTTTCACCAGACAGTGGGTCGATGGCTTCTCCCAGGATTGTGGTCCACCTGGGAAAAGAGCACTATGCTGGTCCCAAACACGGTCTGGGGTCTCCCATTGGCTTTAATGGTTTTGCACAGTGGCTGGGCCAGCTCCAAGGCATGGGGATGTAGCCCTGTTTTTTTCAAGTGCACTGCCTCCTCAAGACACTGTGTCCTTTAAGCTTCCTACAAACATGGGGAGATGCAGGTATCCCTGGGAGCTGACTCATTGTACCCAAGTTAAGCACTTACCTGAGATGAAAGGACTGTTGGAGCTAGTCCAGAGGAGGCCAGAAAGATGCTCCAGGGGCTGGAGCTAGTCCAGAGGAGGCCAGAAAGATGCTCCAGGGGCTGGAGCACCTCTGTTATGGAGACAGGCTGAGAGAGCTGGGCTTGTTCAGCCTGAAGAAAAGAAGGCTTTGGGGAGACCTTAGAGCAGCTTGCAATGCCTAAAAGGGCCTACAAGATATCTGGAGAGGGGCTTTTGACAAGGGCAGGTAGAGACAGGACAAGGGGGAATGGCTTTAAACTGACAGAAGGGAGATATGGACATCAGCAGTGTCATATATCACAGAATGGTTTGGGTTGGAAGGCACCTTAAAGCCCATCCAGTTCCAACCCCCTGCCATGGGCAGGGACACCTTCCACTAGACCAGGTTGCTCCAAGCCCCATCCAACGTGGCCTTGAGCACTGCCAGGGATGGGGCAGCCACAGCTTCTCTGGGCAACCTGTGCCAGGGCCTCACCACCCTCACAGGAAATAATTTATTCCTAATATCCTATCTCAATCTCCCTTCTGTCAGTTAAAAGCCATTCCCCCTTGTCCTATCCCTTCCTGTCCTTGTAAAAAGTCTCTCTCCAAGTCTTTCCTCTGATGATAGCAGTGGAATTAGAGGCAGCCATCAATTCTGAGCCCTCTGCAAACATTATCTCTTGTAGAGGGTTTGATCACAGTAGGTTTGTTCCATCTGTCTTCCATTTGCTTGGTCCAATGTGTCACCGCTAAGGTAAGCTGGTCTTCAAGCAAGTACCTGTCAAGCCCAGAGGGATTTAGCATCTAAAAGCAGATGGGGTGGCACATGTGGATTTGATAAGGGTGAGCAGTGCTCATAGTTAAGTTACCATTTATCCACATGAATGGATGAAATGACCCTCCCCAGGGAACTCCCTTTCCTTCACCTGAGAGTGGTGACTGCTGCTGTGTAACAGACAGCAGCGCCAAATGGTGGTGGGGTGTTCTGAGATAGCCCACGGCTAGCTGGCCCCAGATCTAACAGGTCTACAGTTAGTGATTTCCAATGATCAGTGGACTGAGTCAGTTATTAAGTGTATCTCTAAGTGGGCAATAGCACCCCACCACAACATGTGGGTAGGTGAGGATCCATGGAAAGCATCCTAAGGGGATGCAGTGTAGCAGGATCATTCCTTCCCATATACAATTTTAGAACAAGAAAGTTGAATGCAGGAATTATAGCCATGTCAGGTTGAACAGGGGTCCAGCATAGAGTTATTAATTGGGATTTGTACTTGCAACAGCAATAAACAATTGCTTCTCTTGGCTTCTCAGGTGAGTTTTGCTAACAGACAGGTGATAACCAGATCAGACAAGATACTTCTCTCCAGGAGAGAGAGGAACAGTTGATAAATCCTGTTCTATAGAGGCATACACTGAGGCAGAAGGTCTGCTGAGCAAGTCTAAGCTGGTTGAGGTAACACCACTTGGGTGCTCCTGTCCCACCAGACCTCCTGCGTTTGTAACAGTACTGATAGCTGAGGGGAGAGCCTCGGGCAAAGAGGGGCAAATCCCAAGTTCTCCCATAAACAGCCTCTCCAGCAAATCACCCGCTCAGTTGGTGTCTAAGATTAGCTCCTTCTGGCAGCTCCAGCGATGCAGCTGCTGGGTAAATTTAGATCCTTAGTGAATGGGTTATTTTCTCTCGTGGAGTACCCGTGTCAGGAGGACAGTGCAGAGTCACTGGGCTTTGCCATGTGAGTCACCACTTTGACACTGGGAAGTGGGTGACTCTGTTTGTCCTCCCGGGCAGCCAAGGACCAGAGCTGAGCCACCCACAGGGTCAGAGCCCATGGTTTCTCAGCTGCTCAGTGTAGTTTCACTGTGTGAGGACACCCCGGTGGAGGAGGGCGAGGTGTTTTATCCTGGAAGGAAACGCACATGTCATAGCTGTTTTGGTGGGAAAGAGTAAATCTGAAATAATGGAGGTGCCAAGAAACATCCACCAAAGGTCCAGCAGCACACCTGTGTTAAAGGTGGTGGGCCTGGCAGCTGAAGGAGGTTTGGGGTTGGGACTAGAGGTGCCACCAAGGCACAATACCTGCCCTTACTTCCAACCATTTTGGTTAAGCTCACAGAAATAAAATCAACATGGCTTCAAGCTCAGAAGGTACATGGATGTCAGTTTGACGGAAGTGGGCTTGTGGTATTTCACCAGTATGAAGGTGGAGTCAAAATAAAGGTAAGTGCAAATCAAGCTGCAGCCAAACCGCCAATCTGGTGATGCCACTAAGGTGGGTTTCTGTTAAATCAGTCATGTCACCCTTAGGGGTGGGAGGTGAGGACTTGAAAACAGATCCTTTTGTCTCTCAGCACTGCCCGTTGCCCAGGGTACCATCTGCATTACTGCAGCATGAGAGTGATGAGCAGGAGGCATCATGGATGTCCAACATTTATTTACTACATAAATAAGTGACATTTATCAGGGACTTTACAAAGTACTTCGGCAGAGCTGAAAGCTGGCTAGGAACTGATCCTGTTTCATCCACAGGGAAGCCAGAATACACCAGCACCAAGCATCTTGTCCCACTTTGCAAAGTGGTCCAGATTCTGCCGTCACCAAACATCAATGTAACTCAGACATAAGGCCACTGAAAGTTACTCTAAAGTGCAAGAGAGCCAGAGCTATTTTTCACCTTTCCCCCAAGGCACCATGTTTCACACATGTACATTTATTCAATTCATTTCCTATGCAGTGTCCAAAGTCTGCTTCTCCAAGGAAGCTACCACCCAACCCCAGATCACTGCCCTTCATTCAGGGTCTTTCTGCTTTGGTTATATATAAGCGTGTGAGCTCATTCAGCCATGCAGTCATGGGCTTAGGCTGTGTGCTCCAAAGTCAGTTGAGGGATGCATGGCTGGAGATGAGCAAGAGCTGGCTACAGCATCTTCAGCCATGGACAGGAATGCGAGCTTAACTCTTTGTCCATGGCATTTGAAAACTGCAAGTGGGATTCGCTTTGAGTTCCGGAACATATATCACAGCAGATGGTCATGGTGGCCACATCGGCCTGAGATCCGGCAGTGGAGAGCCCTTTGGGTTTGCACTGGGGACCAAGCAGCTGTGAGCCATGTGTTGTGTTTCTTCAGCAAGTCCCCAGGTGACTTGTATGCGATACACGATGGCTGTGAAGCAAGCGTGGCTCCTGCACTCTCCTTAACTGTGCCTGATGTTGGCATTAAATCACTTTTTCAAGACATTTAGTACTGAGGAGACCTGTTTTGCAGAGGCTGTAACAGCTCACTCCACACTGCTGTCAGTGGTGTGGAGATAATACCCTTCAATGGGTGTTAAAGACATCCTGGTCTTCCTACCCTTTGCTATAAAGACTGTACTATATATTTCTAGGTACTTGGCAGGAATAGATTGTGCTGAGCCACTTCACAATGCTTACTGCACAAACGTAAGTGCTCAGCACTTGACAGTGGATGCTGACCACTTCTTGTAGTGAAGGAAACATGGGATTCTTGGGCTAGAAGTGAGCTGGAGGTGGTCTGCTTAGAGCAAGCTTAGCACCAGCTAATCTCTTTCTCATAGCTGTGTGTCTGGACCACCATAAAACCTCCAGTTGTGGAGCTTAGAGAGTCTCCTCTGTGAGACATGGGCTGCAGATCCTGGGGGAGAGCTGCGTGCTGGTGGAACCCCTGGAAGAAAGGGGTGAAATCTCCTGCACCATGTCAGAGGGTCAGAAGAATTATGGGGACAGCTCTTTCTAGCATCAAGGAAATGCCCTGGGAACCTACCTCAGGAGTCTGTCACACATGGGGAGCCTGCAAAATGCCCACTGTGTCTCACAGAAAATCCTTCCTGCAGCAAGGGGGTGACCTGTGCTTTCCAGGTGACTTCTACATGGGTAAGATACAGCAGTTCGATTGTCAGGAGTGTTTGGAGAGCCCCAGCCAGTGGCTGGCCTGTCAGCAGTGGCTGGAAGGGGGATGAGGCTTTGGGACAAGCCTGCTGATGCTTCCCTCTACTCCGCCTTTGCTTTGTCACTCTTCTCCTCCTTGATGGCCAGGATGCGCTCATGCTCTTTGATCAGCTGCACTCCACAGTATGTGATGAACCAGATGGACAAGGTGCTGACAGGGAAACCTAGAAGATGTAGGGAGACATGGTCATCTTGGTGTGGCTGCTTGCCTAACAAGGCCAGCTCTTCTCTCCAGCAGTGCTGCCTCTCAGGTGGGTTTAGGAGGTCCTACAAGTTCATGATGCCCAATGACATTTTCAATTGTGGATCCAGCCCTACAGCTTCACTGAAAGAAGAGACAAAACCCTAGGATCAGATTTTAGATGAAGCTGTGCTAATGTGGGAATATGCTGGAGTGGTTTTGAGAACTGTCTTACCCCCAAAATTCATGCTCCCCAGGTTTAGTCCTGGTTGACTTTCTGCCTATTCAATCTGCCCATGTCCGTCGTTGTTCAGCACTGTGACCTTCTGGAAGTTTTACGCCCCACTGATGCTGAAGATCAACCCCAGCCTTGTTCTTTACCCAGTGGGGACACAATGTACACCTAGGAAAACACATGTTTTTGTTACCTACGTAAGTGACTGAGAGCTGGGAGCTCTTCCCTTTACTTATGAAGTATCTGATGGCATTTGTAATCACAAATCTGGTATCCACAGCAGAGAGGAGACACAGGCTTTGTACCTGCTAAAACAGGACCTCTGAAATGAATAATGCAACCAGCAAAAGCCAGCTAGCTCAGCAGGCAGGCACTTCTGGCACACTGCACCCAGAGTGTCACATTAGCTGTTGACTACACCAGCCCCATCACAGAGAGGGCTGGAGGACATGGGCTCCTGATGGCTATTTATACCCTGGGGTGCTCAAGAAGACTTCAAAATGGTGCCACCATCCACTGATTAGAAATGTACATGTTTGCTGTACATTTCTAATGTACTGCAACATAAGGATTCGTACCTGTCAGCTTCAGGCTGAAGCAGGAGTAACTGCTAAAGGAGATGAGGCAGGACAAGTAAATCACTTTCTCCAGCAAGGAGACCATTTCATGACCAGGGCTCAGCCCACCTTTGTGGGGTGAATATGACCTTTGCATTGCTGTAAGGAGTCTAAATCACAGTGTCAAGCTGTGCTAGGAGCTGTACAAGCACACCTGAAAAACAGCTTGTGCCCCAGAGAGCTCACATGGGAAGGGTGGGAGCTAGGAAACCACTGCCTGCACCTTTTCCATAAGAATGAGTCACGCTGGGAGCAGCCACATAACAACCCAATGGCCAGGCCACTTTGTATCCAAGAGGACTCAGAAGTCCCAGTCCTCAATCCCCCTACCGGCGCCCTCCCATCAAGACGAGGGTCCCTCAATGGGAAAGCTGGTAGCACCTTACCTGTCTGGAGAAGTCTCTTGGTCACCAGCAGCGCAAACTCCAGGCTGTTGAGGGCTAGGATGTTGAAGAGGATGATGGCCCAGAAATTCACAGCCCCAAAAACTGCCCGAATCCGCCGAGACATGGCCCCTGACATTTTGGCCTGAGGAGGGAACAGGAGCAGAGAGAGCAAGCTAAAATGGGGCTGTAAGTATAAGGGAAGCAGTGGTCCAACTCCTGCCAAACTCTGGCTGGGATCCCAGAGTTTTAGGCAGAAATTAGAGCATCCTTTAGTGTCTTTGGGATGAAGAAACATAGAGAAAAGGTAAAACTTGTGCTCTGCTGCTGGACTCATATTGGGATTCACAATTGGTGTTTCAAGGTCCCATGGGTAGGGGCAAGATGTTACACATGGTTTCATGTTAATAGTAAAGGTTGAGTACTGCTTTCTTCATCTGTTGCCTGGGGTAAGCCACTCCTCAAGGCAGATGGATGCTCTTTTACACCAGGATTATTATTAGCCCTATGTGCATATCACTCCCTCCTCCCAGTAGAAATTGTTTCTTAGGACTTAAAAAAACCCCAACAAGCTGAAAACCCAGTGACAGCAGCAGAGTGAAATTGTCACTGACATATAATCCTCAGAAGCAGCTGCTGTGAGTGGGGCAGGGAAGTGGTTTATAGCAACCTTCAAAGAGCATGATGAATCCCCAGGCCGCTTAAGTGCCGAGAACTGTGGTGCCGCAGGGAAGGAGATTTCACTGCCTGTGAGTGCTATAATCTGATTAGAAGTTCAGTGAGGGGAGCAAACAGGAGGACTCCTCTTCAAAGTTTTTGTTCAAAAGAGGTCTTTACGGAGCTGGTTTAGGACCTCCAGACTTTAGATTGGGCAAAACAAGCAACATAATTGTTTCCAGGATGGAGTTTCCTAAGTTTTATTTCCAACATATCCCCGAGGTACCTTGGTCCCAGAAGCAGGAGACTAAGCTTTGGAGGGGTTGGAAAATGTTTCAATCATCTAGTACCTAAAAGTTTGCTTTTATCAGAAATCATATCAAAACATCAAACCTACTCAGAATATCAAGATGTTTTGCAGAACAAGAATGAGTTATTTTTATATGGAAATATATAAATAATTCACCAGGGACAGACCTCGGATTGTGGTACTTTGAGACCTGTTGGGGTTGCACTTCTGGTTCTCATGGACCTTCATTTTCCCTCTGAAAGCTCCACACCCAGCCTAAATGTTGTATGGGCAGGTGGGAATTTGTTCTGGGTAGGTGACACAGTGCATAAAATGAAGGGATACAGAGGACCAGGACTGTGTTTCCCTTGGCCAGTTAAATAGCTGATTGTAAGGATGCTAAAGACCACAGGAAAAAGCTTCAGGTCTCCACACAGGAGGCCTGGACATGGAGCTGCATAACTTCATCAGTGATGTTGCTGTTCAGTCTCAGGTGAAAATGGATCTGACTTGTATAACAAAGTTTTATCTCCCTACAGTCATGGATGTTTTCCAGCTCCAGGGTTTGGTCCCAGACCCATTGACCTCTCCCCATTCACTTGCAGCCCAGCTGCTCACCTCCAGTTTGGCAAAGGGTGCCTGCTGAAAGAACTTCTGTACCCAAAGCTCAAAGTTGAGGCCAAAGCAGTTGAAGACAGACCAGATGTAAATGATCTCACACGGTCCTAGCCACAGAGTGGTGACTGCGAAGGTGGCGATGGAGGCCACCAGCTCCTTAATGATGTTTTCATGGTTCTCTCCAATGTGATCATATACGTACCTAAGGGCCAAGGAAAGTGGTCAGTGCTCCTTGTAGTCAGTGAGACCACTCTGGAGTCCCTTATCCCATGCTCACCCACCACAAGCCCCTCACAGGCAGGTCAACATAGAGCACCCTGGCAACAAAGGAAGGATGTTTTGGCTGCCATGTTCTAGCAATAAACTGATCTTTTCTGCAGTCCAGCTGCCTTGTGGCTTGCATTTCTCACAAGCCCACATCTCCTTCGGGACAAAATACCACCCTTTCCTGCTCTTCCAGGGAAAGGGCTGATAAACCGTAGGGATCTGTAGAGCTGCAGCCTATCTCAGACTTGCTGGTGCACAGGATTTCATCATTGAGCAGCCACTACCTTCAGTACAGGTTTACTGGTGTGAACTTGTGGCTGAAGACAGCTGACAGGCTCAGGAAGGTGTAGATACAGCTTAGGCCACCCTTGGATACCAGGATATTGAGACCTGGGCTCAATTCCCCTTTCCTCTTGGTGGAATATGAACCTAACTCTTCCTCCCTCGAGGGAGTGCTAAACCCACCAGACTTAAAGGGATCTCTGGGCAGGACTGTCTTATTCCTAACTCTGGCAGGGGGCTGTGGCTCTTTGTGGTGATTAATTCAATGGTCTAAGGGATACACAGACCAAATATGACTTCATGCCAAAGTGGGATTCATTCACAAGAGAAGACAACTCAGCTTTCAGACAAACAGCATTAAATGCTTCATTGCTATGTGATGAAAGAGAAGACCCTGAACCAGACTAGAGATGGTTAACACTTACTTGCATAGCCAGTCGTTAATCCCTCTGTCAAAATGCCTAAAACGCAGATGATAAAAAGTATGTTAAAACACACAGTGTAATGAATTACACCTTTCCACACAGCAACCAGCCAAAGAAGGTACTCAATTGCCTGGCAAGGTACTTGTTCATAACAGTTCCCCGTGCTCCTTCCTGAACAGGTTCCACTGTTTATGTGGTGATAACCTCTCTTCTTACCTATTGCTTCCTGCCCAAGAATATTTCCCTGGTCTATGGCCAGGTCTAGGCTATAGGTTCAGTACATATATTCAATGTAGATAGTCTCCACCTCACAGGCCAGCTCCTCAGAATCCCAGCCCAGGTGTCCTCCCCTTCATGCATGTTTCATTCAGGTCAAACATGCCATCTCTCTTCATGAGATGCATGTGGGGTACTCACGTTTCTGCGAAGACATAGAGCATGGTGATGCATTTTGGAGGCTGGGGTGGGTCCAAATGGTCCAGTCTGGCAATGGTGTTGATCACCCCAAACATGACAGCAGCTTTCACCCAGTCATACACCAAATTGGAGTAGGCCAGGCCAGCTGGAGCAAAAATAAGAGTCAAACGCGATTGTCTTTGGGAGCAGTCTCACATTGGAAGACAAACCCTGCGGGGACAAACACTAAAGATTTCTAATTCTTACTGCTGCACCTTGCTTGCTGTGTCCTGCTTCTTCCCTGCCACCCTCCAGGAAGAGTCCACCTTCTGTACAACCCTCCATTAGGAGACTGAAGACAGCAGCTAAAACCCCCTGAGCTGCTCTCTGTACAGCCTACACACAGGGACTATTTCAGTGGCTCACAAACACCTATAATAGGTGGCCACCTGAGGAGGCATCTGAGATACCAGATGTGCCTCTTACAACAACAGCATGGGGCTGATTTTTCAGAGGTGCTGAGCTCCCTTCCAACTCAGAACAAATGCGATGGGAATGGCTTGGTGGTCAGCCTCTTAAACCCACAGGTAAACAATTTACATTGGGACCTTGTGAGAACATCAGACCAACACCATCTGCTTTCCAGGGCTGCCTGACCCCAGCTCTGTGCATTATCAATGGGAAGAAGAGGAGCTTTTTTCAAACCTGTCCAACACAGGCATTGCCAAAGCCTCTCAGTAAGGGTGACTGGAGATTGGAATCACTCACCACTGCCCTGAAGCTGAGTACGTGCATGAATGTGTACAAGCACTGCCACTCACCCAAGGACCAGTCTGAGAGGCGGTTCATGAACTTCAGGTCAGAAGGAAGAGTGAGGATGTAGAAGAAGTGGAAGAAGATGTCCACAGCAATGATGGCCCCAGCGTGGATGAGGGCATGGACCCGGATGTTCTTCATCTCATCATCTTTGCGTCTTAGCTCTCGATTGCTCACCTGCCCAGGATGGCAAACCAGTAAAGGGATCAGATGAGACACAGGCAGTGTGTTCTTCCATCCAGGCAAATGGTCCAAACAGGGACTTAATGCTGCCCTTCAAATCACACCATGACCTACATGGCCCAAATCACCACTGATTTAGGAACACCCAAGAAGATACCTCCAACACCCCCACCTTCGTGCTGAGCACAGCAGCAATGTGCCTCCTGGATCACCCTTCTAGCAAAGGCTGTTCCCATTGCTGGGGTTTCCAGCAGAGCAGGCACATGGTGTGACACCACAGTGACAAGTCTGGCTGTACCTAAGGAACCTGAGCTGGGGTGAAAAACATACCAAGCAGGGAGCTGTGGTTTATGCTCGTTCTGCAGGGACGTCTTCAGAAAGTCAAGTTTGGTTAAGGGTGGCCCTGTGCACAGGTCACTAAGCGGAGCAAATGCCCATACCCATCACATCTACAGGATGCCACAGACTGAGGGAAGGACATGGAATCACAGAATGGTTTGGGTGGAGGGGACTTTAAAGCTCATCCAGTTCCAACAACTTGCCACGGGCAGGGACACCTTCCACTAGACCAGGTTGCTCCAAGCCCCGTTCAACCTGGCCTTGAACACTGCCAGGGATGGGGCAGCCACAGCTTCTCTGGCCAACCTGTGCCAGGGCCTCACCACCCACACAGGGAAGAACTTCTTCCTAATATAGGAATAGTGAAGAAATTTTTCCTAATATCCAATCTGAATCTCCCTTCTGTCAATTTCAAGCCATTCCCCCTTGTCCTGTCACTACAGGGCCTTGTAAATAGTGCCTTGCCCAGAAGAGGTTGGGAACAGGGCATGAATCACACCTGTAGGTCTGCCAGGGCCAGGTGTATATTTTTTGGCCAGGATCATTTGGGAGGAGGAGAATGACTGATGGTCTCTAGAACTTCTGCTGCAGACACTTGCTGGAAATGAGAGGGGAGCTGCTTGAGAGGCCACCCTGAAGAGGTTGGAACCTAATCCATGGGGATTTCATCTCTGCTGTGTCTTGTACAAACAGGGGGCCGGGCTTTGCCTCCCAGAGCTGTCATGTCTCTGGCTGTTGTAACATAATCACCATCCAAGCAAGCTTTCAGGATTACACTGGGCAGACTGATGTCCTCGCTTCCCCGTAAAAATTGCTGCTGTATTCGAAATCCTCTTATGTTTATTACTTTCCCTTTATTCCCTGCGAGAGGTGGGAGCTCCCCCAGCATAATCCACAGGCTGCCGCACCAGCCCCGTCATCAAATCCAAATGATTTCTGCGTATTAAAGCCTTTGCCAGATTTCTTTCGTGTCTGTTATATGCCAAGTGCTTCAAGGGTTCAAAGAGGCCACTGGACCCTGAGCTGGAAGAGAAGCTGAGGGAGGACAGGCTCTGGCATGGAGATGTGTGGGAGGACACAGAGACCCCTTTCATACATTTAGAGAACAACATTTGGAGAAGACCTTTAAGATCACCAAGTCCAGCACTGCCAAGTCCACCACTAAACTGTGTCCCCAAGCACCACATCTACAGGTCTCTTCAAGATTTATTTCTATTATTTATTATTTATTTGTATTTATTTGCTTACCTCAGGAATGGTGGCTCAAGCGCTTCCTTGGGCAGCGTGTTCCTGGGCTTGACATCCCTTTCAGTGAAGAAATACTTCCTAATATCCAATCTAAACCTCCCCTGGTGCAGCTTGAGGCCATTTCCTCTCACCCTTATGTCTGAGTTTGGTGGCATCAACCCCTGGTGGTCAGGGCTGGATTCCCCATGCTTCCAGCCCTACAGAAGTGAATTTGTTCCTTTGGTCCTTGTAAGGAAGATGCTTTCCAGCTGACATGGGGTTGACCAAACCTCCGTATAGATGAGGTCCCACCACACACAGAGGTGCAAGATCTCCACCAGGATGTAGCACCAGTAGAAACAAAAAATATACAGATGTGTTTCCTAGCTGGCCTGCACACCCCACGCTGGGGAAGGGACTCCATCTGCCTGTCCCCATAATTGCTGCTGGGCAGTATGGAATTCACCTCTGCAGCAGAGCAGGGGAGCAGGGGAGCAGGGGAGCATTTAGCCAGGAGATGGCAGTAGTGGCCAGGCCAAGACAGGACCCATGGCCGGGCATGGAAAAGGTGCTGGGACTTCTCGTGCCTCCAGGGTAGGTGCTCTAAGCAGCATAGAGGGGAGTTGCTCATTAAATGCCCATAGATATTCTGGTCTGGGGCTGTGAAGAAGAGTAGGGCGTTGGAAATATATGATCTTTAAGGTCACTTCCATCCCAAGCCATTCCATGATGCTGTAAATAACACCCCTTCCAGGTCAAGCCTTGTAGGAATGGTGGAGTTCATATACTGGAGACATGAAAGTTTAATGCCCTGATTTACAGACACCTGACTGCAGTGTTCGGAGAAGCCAGCACTGCCCATTTCATAGGAAAGACTGATGAAAAAGGGGGAAACAAGGGGAACATGGGGTGAGGAGGGCACCTGGAAAGGTAAAGCCTTAGGATGGAGAAGAGCCCACCAGCAGCCTGGCCATCCCTGGTGCTTGTCTGCTGAGAATGGGCTGATGCCTGCTGACTCAGTGCACCACAAGCATTCCATATGGGGCACACCAGAGCTGACCTTAAGATCTTCAGGGTCAAATTCTCTAAAAGTAATTTTAAATAGATCCTATAAGACCCAATGGATCCTATTCCTTCCAACATGCAGCACAAGGTTATTCACTCCCCAGGTGATGCAGCAGCAAGGAACGGGACTCAGATTAGGGCTCACCCTACTCACTGGAGGAAACAAGACCAGTGCAGACCCTTTCTTAGGGAACCAGTACCAGCCCAGTGCTAGGGAGAAGGTGCTGAGCTAGGTGGGTCTTCAGCCCCTTCCTCACCAGAGAGGCTTTGGGCTGTTTATTTCTTCTGAATTCACAAATGTTCTTCCAGAATGCTCTTGCAATCAAAGGTCAATTTGGGTCCAAAACCTCAATGTAGCCGTTCTTATTTGAAAGGAAATGGAAGGGTGGTGGCAGTCCTTCCCATCACCATTGCTGACCAAGAGGTCCCTTCTTCAGCAAGCAGTACCAGTCCGCTTTGATAACCAAGGTTGATCATTGGTGTAAAAGGATGTTGAGATGGGAAAAGCAAGGAAGGACAGAGCACTGCTGCTTTTCATGATCTTGGCTGTGAAACAGCCCCAGAGGTCTGCTGGTCCCAGCCCAGCCTTCTGCTCATGTTTTCCAGTGCTGTTTGGAGTATGCTCTTCACAAAGCTCCCCTGGTTTTGTGTAATACAGGTAAAGACTTGGGGCACCAGAGTATTTCATGGAGAACAGAGGAAGCCCCTGGTTGCTTCTTCATTTATTTCTATTAGCAATCTTACTTATTTCTAGAGAAATAACTTCATCTGAAGACACAGAGACCATCCCCAGGAATGCTGGGTGGTCACTTCTTGGGCAAACCAGCTGGATGGAAGCATAAAACTGCCCTTGCTGTTCCAGCCATCTGCATGCAGAGGCCCTGCAGATGGGCACCACAGGTCTGGCTCTCACCATGGCCTCCCAGCACAGCACAGGGGGGCAGCATGGGGCAGCTGGTGTGGCAGGACTTGGAAACTGAGGCACCCAGTAGTGCAGGTGCCCAGAGAATAAGGACATAATCTGAGCCTTCCCCTCTTCACCCCAGCATGATGCTTTCAGCACAGCAATGCCTTCCCTTCTGAACTGATCAGTGGCAATGTCCCAGAAGGGAAGGTTAAAACCCCATCAGTTTATGCCTCTCCCCACAAAAATCACAGCATCGTTGTGCAGCACACACTATGGCCGCACACTGCAGGTGACCATAAGAAACTCTACAACCATTTGCATCTTCACTCTGGCAAATGTGGGGTTTTGTAGGCATTAAATGCAAGCAAACAAATGCAGGGAAAGGCTTATTGAGGAGCACTCACCTGGGCAAGGAACTTGTCAAACGTCATGACAGGCCCAAAGAAGAAGAATGGGAGGTAGAAGTTGTACTTGAGGAGGTCAAATATGGAGTAGATGCCCTCTTTCTTCTCAGCGCTCTCAAGTGCAAAGCTCATGCAGCGCATGATGGTGAATCCACTTCCTCCGTAGAAAAGGACATCTTGAAGATCAAAAGCTCCTGTTACGAACCCGCTCTGGATTTGAAAAATCAAAAGTTACCACCAGGCACTTGGTGTCACTTCTGTGTGCCCTCGCTTTTTGGAGGACGTCGTTCCTGGAACACCACATAAAGCCTCTGATTATGCTCTGACACCAATTGTCCCAGGAACTAATAAGCCTTGCTCTTGGAAAGAGAAAACCGGGGCTTGATTTCCCAGCTGGTTCCTGCATCCTGGAGGAGATCCTCTTGGCCATGCCTTTACCAAGCAGCTGTGGGTCACAAAGGCTTTACTCTGGGGTGGGAGCACTTACCCTGCCACAGGGACGTAACCCTCCCCAGGGAGGGAAGAAAAGCCAGCACAAGCCTGATGCAGGGACACACACACATTTCAGGAGCTAAGCAGCAGGCAGGGAGGGACGGCACTGTCCTTCTGAGGGACTGAGTAGCTTTATAAGATCCTTCCTGGGCTCCTCTCCACACACCAGAGAGAGAACATCTTAACTGAGCAGAGGCCTAAGAGACAGGTGTGGATCCATCCCAGCACTGTGTTACAGATGGGGAAGCTGAAGCACGGAGCAGGAGCACACCTTCCATGGCTGACAAGCTGCTGACTGACCAGCAAGGACTCAGGTGGAGCTCTGATGTACTATGAGAAGTGGCCATGTTTGCAGGTGCCCCAGGATCCCGCCTTGGGAATAAACCCAATGAGACAGACACAAGTGGGCTGGACATGAGGCAGACACATGGCCCAAGACAGCACCTACCTGCCACGAGCTAAATGGCTCCATCTTGAAGGAGGCAAGACAGCAAAGCCCAGCCACGTAGCAGAGCCACTTCTGCTTGGCCAGGGCAACGGAGTACAGGACAAGGCAGTGGGAGAGGATGATCATCAGGTAGATGGGCCCCATGCTGCTCAGCACAGCCAAGAACCCATACAGCATGTACACCACAGCCCGGTGCTGCAAGAAGAATCACAGACTGGTTTGGGTTTGAAGGGACTTTAAAGCTCACCCAGTTCCAAATCCCCTGCTATAGACTGGGACACCTTCCACCAGACCAGGTTGCTCCAAGCCCCATCCAACCTGGCCTTGAACACTGCCAGGGATGGGGCAGCCACAGCTTCTCTGGGCACCCTGTGCCAGGGCCTCACCACCCTTACAGGGAAGAACTTCCTCTGATCTCATCTAAATCTCCCCTCTGTCACTTTAAAGCCATTCCCCCTTGTCCTGTCCCTACCTGTCCTTGTCAAAAGCCTGTCTCCAGCTTTCTTGCTGCCCCCTTTAGGCACTGGAAGCTGCTCTAAGGTGTCTCCGGAGCCTTCTCCAGGCTGAACAACCCCAGCTCTCAGCCTGTCACCATAGCAGAGGTGCTCCAGTCCCTGGAGCATATTCATAGCCTCCTCTGGGCTCACTCCAACAGCTCCATGACCTTCTTATGCTAGGGGCTCAGAGCCGGACACAGGACTCTCTGTGTGTGTGTGTGTCTCACAGGAGCAGCCCTAACCCATGGTCAGTTTGGTGAAAGCCCCAGCTCAGCTCTCCCTACCCTAGAACATCACAGAACATCCCTCAAACCCTCTCTACAGCTTCCAGGTCACCTTGGTGCTTTCAAATCCATCCCACCACATCCCTGGCTCACCTGTGGCACTGTCATGGAGCAGATCTTGCCAAAGAGGACATGCCCCGAGAGGGCGAAGATGATGACGTTCCTGAATGATGTGAACCACATCACCCACTCGAAATCAGCCACATCCTGTGGGAGCAGGACCAGTACTTTACTGTCCCAAGCCTTTGCACCCCTGCCCCAACACCCAGCTGGAGGGGAAACCACACAGCTTTCAAAGCCTGTTCTTCCCATTTTCCACCCAAGGGCTCCCGAGCACTTTATCTTGGTCATAAACCCCCAGGAGATGCGAAGTGCCTTATCTTGGTGGACACAGAGGAGAGCATCCATGGTGCTGCAGGGCTGATATTTTCCTGACAAAGCATGTCAGCACCAGAACAACCAGCTCTGCTTCTGCAGTGCTCAGCACTGACCGTGTCACCTGTAGCTACCAAAGACCGAGTCCATCATCCTCTTACCATCTTCCTGCCGAAGTAGTGCCAGCCCGGCTTTATGCCATCCCGAAAGGCCTTTCTGTTCATGCTGTCTGCAAATGAATCAGAATTATGGGGAGAGAAACAGCTCTGGGAAGTGAGGCCTGGGTTTCAGCAAGGCAAGGAGCCTTCCTCACCATGATGATGAGCCATCAGGGCTCAAACATGGCATCCCAAAAGTGCCTAACTCTCATGAAGAACCACAGGAGCTGGGCTCCTCAACAGTTTCTGCAAGACTTCCCAGCAAAGCCTTTTTGCAATGCAGATCCCAGGGACTCCCATCTAATCCAAGAAATCTACAGGTGTTTTTGGGCTTCCACACAAAAGTCTTGTGGACCAGCCTCATACAGGCAGGGTGACTGCCTGCTCTGGGCACTGGCTGGAGAGACAGAGAAAGCAGGCAAAAAGGCAAAAGCCCTTTCTGAACCTTGCAAAGGATTCCCAAGCTGTTCTGTCCCCAGACTAAAGCCAGGGATCTGCTGCTGGTATTAATAGCTGTAAAAGCAGCCACTGTACACCTGTCCTCCCTCCCAGGGCCTCCTCAGGGGGGATGCAATGGAGAGCCATTACCTCTGGATGCTTGGAAGATCTCACTACTACTGTACACCACAGCACATGTCACGGTGAGAGCATAAAAGCCCAGTTCGTAGTTGGGAAGCATTGCTTTAACCCCCATGGCAGCAGGTTACTGCCCCAGCTGATGCAGGGGATCCAGACCTGGCAGAGGTAAGAAAACCCAGGGTGAGAGCTCCACCTGTCCTCCTACCCCTCAAACACCAAGAATTGCTGCTGGTCCTTAGCTGCTCTTCTTTGAGGGCTTCCTTAAAGGGTGGTGGCTGAAGGAAGATGGTAGTACCTGGGGCTGAATGCTTGGTGCAGGGATAGCGGTTGCTGCTGAGCGCTGCTGCAAAACCCACCCAGGAGCCAGGATGTGGGGACAGCTCAGGTAGGTGTTCCTGATAAAAGGCTCCTCCCAGCAGAGTGCACCCATTCCAGTGGTCAGAGATGCTCCAGGATGCCACACACCCAGGATGGGGGTCCCCCCCCCTAATTCCTAACTGCACCTTTAGAAGAGATCCAGGGTAGAGCACAAGGACACTCCAGCTGGAAAGAACACGATGAGATGCCGTGCTCCTTTACCCTGAGCTGCTGCTCACCTTTTAGCTGGGGTTCTGCCCAGCCCCAGGCTCTTGGGGGCTTTAGGATCCCCCCGAGCCCAAACTGCTCCCAGCCACCAATCTCAGGCCCGCACCAACCGCTCTGCCGCACCCATCCCCGCAATTAGCCCGGGCTAATTAACTCCTCCCGACGCTAATTAACCTCGAGTAATTAACGTGCTTCTCAGCCTGACCCGAGCTCCGCAGCGCCCCGACTGCTGCGGAATACGCTGCTTGGGGCACTTTCCCCCATCCGTGACATCTCCCCCCACCCCGCTGCGGCGCGGTGCGCTTTGGGGGAGAGAAAGGGGCGGAATTCTGCTTATAGCAGCAGTAAAAGGAGACCCGGTCACCTTCTGCTTCTGCATCTGCCTCGCGGAGCTTGTGCTGAGGGTGCTTATTTAAACGACTTCTTTTTTGTTAATTACGATTCTTATTTTTGAATTTATTTTCTTTCGGTCACTGAGTTTTTTAAGAGCGTTGGAGCTTTTTAGCAGCGATGCGGGGTAACCCCATCCTCCCCAGGGCTGGAGGGAACGCTAGTGAGGCGGGGGTTGTCCTGGTGCCGCTGCGCCGCGGTGCCCTGCGGCATGGGGGCAAACACAGAGGTGGCTTTGAAAAGCTTTTTTAATTCATTCCCAAGCTTTTCAAAGTTGGATTTTTGGGCATGGAGAGAGGGGCAAGGCCACCCCGAAACTGAGCCGGGCGGGGGGGGGGCAGTTACCGGCGCCCGGCTGCCGCTGGGGACCCTGCGCTGGGTCAGGGGTGCTGGGCGGGGACGACCCTCGGGCAGTTTTAACTCCCAATGGCTCCCGGGCTGCTGAGTCAGGTGCAGGGGTGTGACCAGGGGAGCCCCCCCCCCAGCTCCGAGCCGCTGCGGGGCTGCAGCATCCTCATCCCTCCTCTCCCCTCCGCCGCCCCGGGACCCCGGCCGGGCAGTGGGCGCTAGGCAGAGGTGATCAAAAGCCCCCGAGCTGCGGGAGCAGCGTGTCAGCACCCCCGGCATCCCCCCCACCCCGCTCATCCCCGCACAGCTCCCCACTACTGACCTTGAGCCCCGGGGTCGCAGGGGGAGGCGGCAGAGGGTGCGGGGATCCAGCGTCCGACACCGCGACGGGGGGCTGCGGGAGGGGGGAATAGAAACGGGGGGCAAAGAAGGGGTTTGGGGGGCTGCTGGCTTGCCCTACAGCATCCCTCGGCCGCGGTTGGGGGACTGTCTGCCCGGGTGTATTTTGGGGCTGCCGTCCCCCACCTTGCCCCCGGAGGAAGTTTGGCGGGGAGTGGAGCGGAGCGGAGCAGGCGGGAGGTATTTTTATTTTAGAGCAGCACTGCAGAGGGGGGCTGGTTCAGGAGCTGTCTGTCACCGCAGCTGCCGGAGAGGACCCGTCCTGCCTGCCAAAGTGCACCCGGGCCAGGGAGCGCCGCCCGGGGCTGGCCAGGGGAGCCCAGCGTGCGGGAGACGTCCCGCAGGGAGCAGTCCCCCTCGCGGGGGTGTTTTGGTGCCCTGCTTTGAGCCCTGCAAGGGAGGAGGAAGCCTCCACTGCCTTGAATTAAGGGGGAGGCAAATATCATTGCATGGCAATGGGGAAACTGAGGCACGGAGCCAAAAGATGCAATTCCTCCCTGGCTCAGGTGGTGTTTAAATCAGCATGGGGCTCAGAGGTTGCCGCACCTTTACAAAACAACTTCAGGAGACCCTTAGAACCACAGAATGGTTTGGATTAGAAGAGACCTTAAAGCTTATCCAATTCCAGCTGCCCTGCCACAGGCAGGGACACCTTCCACTAGATCAGATTGCTCCAAGCCTCGTCCAGCCTGGCCTTGAACACTGCGAGGGATGGGGCAGCCACAGCTTCTCTGGGCAACCTGTTCCAGGGCCTCACCACCCTCACAGGGAAAACTTCCCAATATCTAATCTAAACCCACCTTCTGCCAGTTTAAAGCGATTCCCTCTTGTCCTGTCCCTACCTGCCCTTGTCAAAAGCCCCTCTCCAGGTTTCTTGTCAGCCCCTTCAGGCACTGGAACCTACTCTAAGTTTTCCTTGGAGCCTTCTCTTCTCTGGTGCTCTCAGCCTGTCTCCACACCAGAGATGCTCCATCCCTCGGAGTGTCTTTGTGGCTTCTCAGCTTTTGCATCTGAAAACAAAATGAGATGGGAAGAGGCTGCACTGGGTTGTGGCCTCCATTATTTCAGGATGGGCAAATACAGGTCAGCCAAGTTATTAAAATCAATGCAGCATCAGTCCCATCCCTGTGTCCTGTGGGAAGCAATTTCTACCAAAGCCCTGAGAGATCTGGGGAGAGCTGCCACCCTGGAGCATCTTCTGGGCTGCCTGTAGGGTCAAAGGAGAGAAATAACATCCCTGGCTTTTATAAATACCTCTGTGGGTTTGTCTGCTTTGGGGTGAGAGAAGTCATGTTCTGGGCTCTGGAGGGCAGATCCCCAAGATAGGCACCCAGGATGGCACTGGCCATGAATACAAAAGGGGTTTTGGCAGCATTTTTAACTTGATGTGCATAGAGAGACCCTTGGCACTAAATGGCCAATACTTTCAGCACTCAATGAGCCATTTTAAATTGCAGCAGCTGGGCAGGATTTGGCGGCCTGCCCCTCGGATGCCCCCGAGCCTTGGTCCTGCTGCAGCAGCTCTTGGAACTTCATCTCTTTAGACCTTGGCATAATTGCGTGGGTGCTTACAGGCAAAGTAATTAAGCGATCAGTGCAGATAAGTGCAGCAACACAATTCATCACACTCTGTGTGCCTGTGGAGAGCAGGGGTTTACTGCCAGTCATGGCCATACGTCAAAGAGCCTTTGCAGGAGGGAAAGCTGAGGCTCTGCCCCCACCAGCGGGTGCAGGTGGACATGGACTTGCTTGGTGGGAGCGTGATACAGGAAGGCAACAAGCAAAGGGGCACAGGAAAACCAACAGTGCTGGAAGCTCAGTGTGTTGGAAGCTGGAGGAGATGGGGATCTCGTTTTTGGGATGCTGGGAGGCTCCAGGGAGCAGGTTCCAGCCCCATCATGCTGCTCTCCCTGAGCATCAGCATCCCAAGTTTCAGGGTGATGATAGATTTTAATTTTCTTCCTTTTAAACTCCTGAGTAATTTGTGATCTTGCTGATTGAAAGAACACCACCAGTGGAGGGCTGGGCGTAAGCTTTTCACGAGGCTCTGAGAACTGTGGTGATAAAAATTATTTAGCTTTAATTTATAGATATTATGAAAAAAAATGGGAGAAAAAAAAACAACCTCTGTCTTGATTTCTAATGTGAAAAGATTTATTTTAAATGTGACCAGCGTGCCTGTCTCAGTACGGAGGACACCTCTGTGTTTTATTGCCCCAGTGCTTTATGACAAGGGATTGCTTATGGCTTTGAGCTGCTTTTAATTATAGCTTTTCTCTAATGGTTGTTGGAAGCTGTGGCACACGAGCTGAGGCCAGACCTTGATGTGGTGTGCTAACCAGCAAGTGGAAGGTGGTGGGGTTCAACAAAAGGTGCTTGCCTCTGTCCCATGGGGATGGGACCGGAGATATTTGGTGAGGACACCAAAGGAGGCTCCTTTGGTTCCTGTCTTACACTGCTGTCTCCCTGCATTCTCTGGGGTGAAATGGAAGGAAAAAGGATTATAATAACCCACAGTTTTCTATTTTTTATACTGCCTTAGATTGCCCCATCGGGTTCCCCATGCAAAAGTGGCACATGCTAACCCAACAAGGACTTCAGCAGACTCCTCCATGCTAGCAGGATGGCTCAGGAGAAAGGGATGTGTGCCCCATCCATCTGTTCATACATTGATCCATCCAAGGTCACCCCCAGGACCCCTCTCAGCTCCCCGAGTATGGCATCCCCCATGACCCACCAATCCCATCAAAGGTCCCAGGACCTCCTGCTGCCCTGGGGAAGGACTCTGAAGAAGGCTCCCACCACCTGTCGGGAACAACCAGCATCAGGTCAAAGCCTTCAGCTCCTCTCCTCACAATCCCCTCCCATTCCTGAAAAAAATGCCCCAATTAGGTCAGCTAGGCAGTGGAATGACCTTATCTGTTATCTGCACCCTGCAGATAACCAACCCTGCTGACAAACAAGCTGCTCTAAAGCCTAGGATCTCACCCCCTGCATGCAGATGGGTTTCAGAGCTGTAAGCAGAGACGCATGGGATTGAGGTGGCATTTGTTGAGTGAGGCCGCTCGGTCCCATGGGAGCAGTCAGCTCTTGAGCTGGGCTCAGAGGGAGAGGATGAGGGGAGAAACCCAATACCCCTCTTGGCTCAGCTGTGGCTTAATTTAGAGCATGGGGGCCCTGCTGGAGTATTTTTCCATTTAAAGCTGAACCTCATTCCTTTTGTCATGCACAGGGAGAAGGCCTTGCGCCTTGCAGGGCAGTAGCAGCTGCTGGCTGTGGCTGATGGAGAGGTTGGCAAAGCAATTCCCAACTCAGTTCCCCTTTGCCACCAACTGGAGCTGTTACAGTGGGGCTTCAACCTGCTGGCTGATCCTCCACCACTGGGCCAAGCAGATACCACGTTAGGGAGAGCTCACTTGCTTCGATATTATGTGTATTTTTAACCATGCTAATGCAACCGAATTCATGTTATGACCAGTTTGGAAAGCCACATCCTCACACTGCCTGCTCTTTGCAGGTAGGTGCCTTGCAACAGGCTGAAAGTAAAACGATGAAAATTCATCAAATACTGTTTATTCCCAGAGGTTCAACTGTACCTCTAAAATCAGATGCATCCATAAGGCACTTTATGACTGCTTTGTGGAAGTGCTCTGCCCCTCTCCAGTCTAGGAGACAACCTTGGGCTTGGCCCAAGTGTTTGGAGGTCCTGTATTCTTAGCATACATTAGCTAAAGGCTGGGCAAATCTTAAAAAGAAGTGTCCATAGCCTCAAATACTTGCAGCAAAATTAACCTCATGCTGTTCTTCACAGCTTAACTGTATTCACCAGTCTGTGCCAGCAGTGGTGAGCGTTATCACCACCAGCCTGTCATCACCATTAGCTACAATGAGAGACTGAAAAAACTCTGAGCTTATCAAAAAGCAGCCTGTGACATGACTTTGCACAGGATGAAGGCTGTCCCAGCAAGGAAATGCTGCATATTCACACTGCTTTTATCTAGCAAAGAAAGGTGTAACAATGACCGGCTGCCAGAGAAATTCAAATAGGTATCAAAGCACAGGATTTTAATGGGCTGGTAATTATCCATGAAGCCATCAAACTTCCAAGGAAAGTAGGGAGTTGTGGAGACTTCAGATCAAGCCCAGCTACATCCCTAAGAGAAATACTGTAGTTCAAACAGCATATCAAGCGTGCTGGAGATTCTATGGCTAAGTACCGGTGGTATGGGTTTTCGTAGGCAGTGAGAAAAATATTGTCATTGGTTTTGTTCTCTGAGCAGTGGGTTGGGGTACCTGGGGCTACTGCTTCTAGGGTCTGACAGGATTTCTTACATTCAGCAACGAAGTGATATGCGCTGCAAGAAAATCAGTCTCATACCTTGGAAATCTGGGAAGCAGCTGCTGCAAGAGTCAGCATGGGGATTAATTCAAAGGCAGGTCACTGTGAGAATGCAGAGGGAATTTATTTCAAAACTAAGGTGAAAACTGAGAAGACCTGGACAATTTGGCCTGCGTGCAGAAACCCTTCCCGACTCTGCGATGTGCAACGGATTGCACGTTTCCATGAGAAACAGTTACCTACAGGTACAGGATCTCTAAATAACTTCTTTTATAGCATCTTGGCTTCTTCTTTATCAAGGTGTCCAGAGGTGCTGTGTGTGTATGTATGCAGAAAAAGAAAAAAAGCTTCTGTGCCCCCCCAACAAACATATGTTTAAAGAAATGAGTGTTGCAGCATTTGAGAAGAGGTTTGCACCATGTGCTAGCAAGCCATATGTGTTCTGTAACATATAACACTCCCATTTTCATATCTCTGTTTCATGGGTTGATTCACAGCCATTCTGCTGGAAAATGGTATGAGCTTCACTGATTCATCACGAGACAGGAGACAAATGCTGACCATGTATTAGAAGGGACAGTAGATTGCCTCTCCTGTACATAGGTGAAAATATTGATTCGCACTTCTATGTAAGTGAAATCAGAATCTCCAGCTGCAAGCTACAAGCCTGAATTTAGCAGTCACCAC